CAGATAATCGGAGCAAAAGTTGGAAAGCAGATGAAACGTAGAAAAGTTAAGAAAGAAGCATGTAGAAGGGTGAGAAAAAGTGATATAGCTGAGATAAGAGAAAGAACAGACTCAAGAGAATGAGATCCAATAACAAGGGAAACAAAAATAGAAAAGGAAAAGAAGAAAAATTAGGAGGAAAGAGAATGGTGCAGTAGTGCATGGTATATAAAACCTTCTGTTTGCCAACAATTCAGTTGGTGAACAGGTGTTATTTTGGCTTCCGCTCACAAACTCCATATGAGGAAGAAACATAACCAGGTCTCTTTCCTGCAGGAATACCAGCATAGCCAGCTTCCCCACATTTGTGAGATTAATTAAATTTGTGAACCAAGGTGCCACTATACTTTTATGCCTTGCATATGATTGTTCTGCACATGTTTAATCTCAAGTCAAAAGTTATCAGAATGAGAGAACCAGCTCTGTCCCACTGCACTATTTAAGGCAAAGCTCCCAGGACAACACCAATTGCTTCATAGGCAGAGTAACGGAGGTGAGCGTGCACTCACATGCATACTCATGTGCATGCACACATAAACCCCTGATTTCATCATGATATGCCCTCTGCCACCTTGGGATTTCTGCAAGAAGTTTATCACCAAAGACTAAACCAACAGGGCCAACTGATGTAATCTTTTTCTTTAAAAGTTTAGTCTGAGTCAGATATTCTGTTATAGTAATGAGGAACATAATAAGATTTCAAAACAAGATATAAGACTTTTCAAATATTAACTATATACAATTTTATATATAAATGTCATATCATCATAAAAATTTATTACTGTTATTATTATTGTAATACATGCTAATTAAAGTGTTAAGAAAAATACTGAAGAAGAAAGAACACAAATTTTACCTGGAATTCTTCCAGGTAAATTTAGGAATTTTTAATATTTATATTATCTTCATAGACTTTGAATTAGCTTTGTTGAAATATCATACATATTCAGCCTCCTTAATAATTTAGCAATAGAACCTTAATATTTTTGAAGTATTAATTTTAATAAATGTGTTTTACCTTAGTCCTAGTAAACAACTCATGACACTCATCACTTAGAATAATGGCAAGATTTTAATGAAGATTTTAGTCTCTGAGGTGTGAACACTGGGTAGCAGAAGCCTAACATGTGATATGGTTACTCATGGCTGTAAGCAGGGCCAGGCTTGAAGGGCAGGGCAGAAGGCAGTTGGTAGAACCCCCGTGGAGAAGGTCGTGCCAGGTTCAAACAGCGGGGCCAGTGACTTTAGCCCATGCTCACAGCAAATCTCTAGTGACTCCAGAGGGAAAGGGCTGGTGACAGACACCCGACTGTACTTTTCTTTTTCTTTCCAGTTTTCCAATGATTTACTGGTTGAATAAAGTTGGCAGCCCCAGGGTAACAGAACCTGAGTCACCCAAAGCAGTTCTCGGCTGGAGAACACAGACGAGATGAACTAAGAGTGAACGTGGTTCTCAAAGCACAAGTAGGACACAACAAGGTACTGAGTATCATGTCATTAAAGTGTACTTAAAAAGTATCATCCTTTGCTATACTCGTGGTAGCTTTTACAATTATCAATAACTATTAAACTAACTGTTAACATTCATTTTAGAATAATATTCTTAACATAAACTACAAAAAATTTAAATTATTGAGGGCTTATGACTGAGTTACTTCTCCCTCTAAGTCTGTTATAATAATTTTACTGGTAAGTTATAAGAGCTTTATATATGTGTATATATGTATCATATAAATATATTTTTAAGTGAAGTTTTTGTTATTGCTGGAAAAGTATATGGCACTTTTTTAGCTTGCATTTCTTTGATGAATAGTGTGTTAAAGTGTTCCCATGTTTGTTAAATATCTTCATTTTTCTGTAGTAATTTTTATTAGGAGTTTGGCAATACCTAATGACCACATTCATCATGGGGCTTTGCTGTATGTACATGACACATTTCAATTGTTCCTGTGTCCCCATCGTCTCCCTTTCCTCCCAGCAGCCTCATTTTTTGTGCTCCTTTCTCTTGCTGTTCCTTCCATTTCATATAAGAAAGATCTACCTCCACACTTCCTACCATCGATCTTATATTTTGCTCCTTTTTTTGTATTTTCTATTTCCTCATATAAGAGAAACCAATCAACACTTAAGCTTGTGTTCCTGATTTATTTCACTTAGTATTATAGTTCCAAGGTGCATCCATATGCCAGCTAATAACTCAGCTGCTCTTCATGGCAGAACAGTACCCCTCCGTGTGTAAATACCATGTTTTCTTCACCCATTTTATCCATTAACTTTGTTAATGGATATACAGGCTGCTTCAAATATTTAGCTATTGTGAATTATGCTGTTATAAACATGGGTATGCATGCATCACTGTAATATGTCTTTAACTGTTTTGGGAAGATACATAGATGTGGAATAGCTGGGTCAAATGAAACTGTGCTTTCAGCTTTTTGAAGAATCTTCATGCTGATTTCTACAGTGTTCACACTACTTTACATTACCACCACCAATATACTGGGTTCTTTTTCTCCATTGCTTCACAGCATTTGTTGTTATTCAGTTTGCTGATGATGGCCATTTTATTTCTGATGCAAAATGCAATCTCAGTGTAGTATAATTTGCTTTTCTCTAATCAACAGTAGTATTGAACTCCTGAACTTTTCTTTATATATTGGACATTTTCATTTCTACTTTTGAGAAGCATCACTTTTGCTTTTTGACTGGATCTTATTTTAGGTGGTCTATTTGTTTTGACTTTTTTAATATTCTAGATACTGGTCCTCTGTCTGAGCAATAGCTGGCAAAAAAATTTTTTTTTCCAATCTGCAGATTCACTGTAGTAGTTGTTTCTTTTGCTATGTAGAAGCTTTTTAACTTGGGATGAACCCAATTTATCAATTCTTGGTGCTATTTCCTTTCAACTTGAGTTTCTAAGCAAAATGTCCTTGTCTATACCTATGAGTCTAGGAGTTTTATCTATTTTTCACCAACAGACCAAATGTTTCTATTTTAACACTTAGGTCTCTGATCATTTTGATTTTAGTTTAGTACACAGTGAAAGATATTGGTTTAGTGTATGCTTTGGACTCTGTCAAATATTAAAAAAATTAATTATGCTTGGGATTTTTTTAGCTTCTTCTATTTCGTTCTATTGATCCTTGTATCTGTCTTTGTACCAGTTACATGCTGTTTGGGTTACTGCAGCTTTGTAACTGAATTTCAAATCCAGGATTGTGATGTCTCCACCGTATTCTTGTTTTTGAGGATTGTCTCTACTATTTTGGGTATACTATAGTTCCACATGAACTTTAAGAGCATTTCTTCCAGATCTGTGAAAAAGTCTGTCTATATTTTTGTTTGGAATGTGTTAAATATGTACATCAGATTTGGCAGTATGGCTACTTTAACTGTATTGGTTCTATCTATCGAGGAATGGGTCAGGGGTGTTCCTCTATTTTCCAACATTCTCTTCAATATTGTTTTCCAGAGTACTGTAGTTTTTATTTAAAAGGTCTCTCACATTTTTTGATTAATTCCTAAGAACTAAATTTTTCTTGGTGCTACTATGAATGATACATTTTTTTCCTAGTTTCTTTTGATTTTGATTTTTTGCGTGATTTTGTGTCCTATTACAGTGCTGAATTTGGGTATGAATTCTAGTAGACTTCTGGTGGTTTGGATCTTCTATCTACGTAGAGTATGAAATCATACATATTATTTTTATTTCTTTTTCTTGCCCAATTATTCTTGCTAATATTTTAAATACTGTGTTAAACAACAGTAGTGATAGTGCATATCTTGTCTTTTCCCTGATTTTGAAAGGACAGTTTCTTCTTCATTTACAACGATGTTCACACCATGCTCCTTATAAATAGGTTTTATCAGGGTGAGATAAGATCAATCTACATTTAGTTTCCTCAGTGTTTTTATCATGAAAGGATGTTGACTTTTGTCATAAGTTTTGTTGTGTCTGCTGAGCGGACCATGCGCTCTTTTTCCTTGCTTCTTCCTTGCCGATTTGAGTACGCTGAACTATCCTTGCCTGCTTGGGATGAAATGTACTCTTATGTATGATTGTTTTGATGATTTATTGCCAGTATCGTCTTGAGGAGCTTTGTTCTATTTCCATGTTCATTTTTGTTTTCTCAGTTTTCTCCTTATTTGCTATCCTCTTTCATGTGACCAGTTTATTGATATGCTTCCTTACATTGACATAAAAATGTACTAGTCATCAAATATACATACATTTTATACTTAAGCACCTGACCAGCTCTCTCCTTTTTCCCCCTTGATCATGAGACAACCAGAGTTGGCTTCAGAATGCAAGGTCAAATGATTCTTGATTATTCTTTACAATACAAATACATGACTAGCTCAGTCATATATTTATTCATCCTGAAAATTCTGAAGCTTACGTGACCTTTAATCAATTCAGCACTAACCTCTTTAACATTACTTGATAACATGCACAATCTAAAAATAAAGTTGATTAAAAATATAAATGAATAACAATAACTTTACAAAACTAAATGATTGAGATCTATGAAACAAATAGGACACAAAATATATAAGCTAATATATTTTTTTATAATATTCAAAATGAGCACAAAAGGCATCTTCTTGAGGAACAACCTATGCAAAACTCAGGAGAGAATGGTCCAGAGAACAAGGAAGGCAGAATACCAAAATATGCTGCCTATTCATTACTATTCACAGGATATAGTACAATATGTCTTCTATGCCAAGCTAGTAAGATTCACCCCAGGCTATAACATGGCTCAAAACACTTGCTTTATTGTTTCCCTTTCATATACAATATAAAATTGATGGTGTTGACACAGCATTCCAACTAAGAATTCCACTAAGAATCTCTGCGAAGAAACTTTGTTGGATTATGACACACAGAATGAATCTTGTAATATCTAAGGCCAATGCCAGCTCCAAGACTATTCTGAATTGTCTTCTCATGTACTCACTTGCTGGGTTGTCCGTATTATGCAGGCTGACGACAGGGACCCTTGGCCCTAGATTTTAAAAATACATGTATAAACAAAGCGAAGCATTGGCACTCACTTTATCACATTATAAGAGAACACTTGATTTCTACTAATCTCCAGGAAGCACAGTAGCATCATAAAGGGAACATGATTTCTGTGAATATACTTAGTGACCCTTGCATAACCAGGTGCACACTGTTGCAAGCTGAAAGATGTAATCAGTATTAATATAACTGCTCAGAATTTACGAGTTCTGGAGGAATAAATTTATTTTCATACATCATAAACATATCATCAACAAAGCCAACGTTTTGATAAGACAAAAAGACAAGCAAATTAGCATAGATTTTACCAATACATATGTTTATTCACTTTAAAAAAGTTCTCATTTATAAATAGAGCATGTGTGCATATTGAATTACTCCATTTTTATTTTTAAATTAAATTCATGAATTAAATTTATAATTTAGAAAATCTGTAATATACAACATTTTATGTTTAATAATAATAGCCATAGATACTGGTCAAATAGAATGAAATAAATTCTTTAAGAAATCATGTATTATCTTACCTTCACAGAATAATAAAAAATGTTGATTCATGGGGCTAAAATTGGCATCAAAATATGTACATTGCTCTTTCATGACATTACATGAAATACATTGGCGATTCAGTGATTCTTCAGTGGAAGCACTGAGGAAAGAAAATGAATGTTAGAAATGCTACTCTGTTCCAGACACTTGAATGTGTGCTATCCACATGCAAATATAGTGTCTGATAAACAGAAATCTACGTCAATGGCTGGATAGAAGTTCCTTGTAAATCGCAACTCACTATAAACATGGAGTGTCAATTTCCATTATGTATGTTAAGATGTACACATTTTTCTCCGTGTACCTGAATATATGTATATATATATATAGTATTTATATGTATACAGTCTCAACATAATTTATGACTATTTGCATTTTCATTAGAAATATTTCTGAGTTAAATTTTAAGAGGAATAACCCATGGGAACCAAAATAAATTAAGCATCAATAAATATTGCTTGAAATAGTGAATAAGTGTTTCTGTAAGTCACATAAAAATTAAATTCATCATTCAACAGATCATATATTAGAATTTAGGAGTAATTCCAAATTTTCTTCTCCAAGAACTAGCATTGATCTGTTTGGTGAAGATCATTTTTAAATGATATTATATATAATACTAATGATAATATATACTATATACTTTGCCATATAAAGGAGTAAAAAAAAAGAAGCAATTGTCATCTTTATTTTATAATAATGATGCTCAAGGTCAGAAGGATAGATACATTCAGCCAAAGTTACCCTTCACATATTGAACTTTATTATTATTTTAGTAAAGACAAAGATTTCATTTGTGTCACACAAGAGCCAGCTGCAGGCTGCCCCGTGGAGCAGACTAGTGAAGAAGGAGCGCCACTGCCCCACAGGCAGAGCGAGCTTAGATCAGTCAATGAGCTGCTCTGTGGACAGATGGGTATTATACACAATTTCTATGGAAGCGTTAGCATGTGTGCAAGGAGTGCAGGAACCACACAATGTACCTGCAAAAGGAGGAATCAATAATCTAATACCTCTGTATAATGTTGCATTTGGTCCTATGTTGTATCGTGGCTACAAAGAATCTTGTTTTTGAGTGTATCGTAGAGCATGTAAATAAGGATCTCCCTTCTTTTGCTCAGGTCTCAGACAAAACCAGCTAAGAGTGCACAGAACTTTCTCTCTCTCTCTCTCTCTCTCTCTCTCTCTCTCTCTCTCTCTCTCTCTCTGTCTCTCTCTCTGTTTGTCTGTCTCTCTCTCTGTCTCCCCCTCTTTCTCTTTCTCTTTCCCTTTATTTTTTATAGTACATATTTGTAGGGAATGATTACATTCATTGTGGGGAGCAGGTATATTTACAAAGCATATCTTAATTTTTTTATTTTCATTTTCTCCCCGTTGATGTTTTTGTAAGTACATCTGAATGCAATATTATCTTAGGCAATATGGGAGAACACTATGGAGAATATGTTCAAAATCTTTGATTGAACAAATGTCTTCAATTGCACTCCAGCTACCTACTCATCTTGGCTTCCAGGGACGGGGGCTCAGCTATCTGGTTAGCCAGGGGCTTCACGCTGAGCCACATCCTCAGCCCTTTGTAAGTGTAGTTTTGAGACAGAGTTTTGGGAAGTGGCTGAGTTTCCAAAGACAAGATTTACATGTGCCACCTCACCTGACATCAACTGCATTTTAGAATGAGAGATAATTTTGGCTACATATATTTTAGAGGAAGAGTAGTTGTGTTGATTTTGATGTGCGATAGGCTGGAGTCATGGGGACTGGGACAGAGGTGTTAAAGTGGGCAACACCTCAGTACACAACTGAGATGCAATGTTAAGCATAGTTCATAGAATTGTAATTTAATAGTAAGTACTAGAACCTGATTGTAATCCATACTTTCTTTCTTTCTTTTTTGTAACCATACTTCCTAAGCAAGGCAATTTTTGTAGGGTAGGCACTTAAAACACAGCTGGTTTCACCTTTATGGTAACTTATGAGGTACTAACTGTTGCATAAAATTGTGGTGGCGTATATAAAATTTAAAATTTGCCACCTTACTCATTTTAAGTGTTCAATTTGGTTTCGTTAATTATGTGCACACAGTTAACAACCTTCACCACCAAGAAGCTTAGAATTTGTACTAGTGGCCCACAGCCATTCAGTGACTTACTAATATTTAAAATCTTTCTACTCATACATAAAGCTTTCCAAACAGAAATCTCTAAAGATTTACATTATTATTTTCTGATTATTTACGTTATATAATTGCTGAAATAACAAATGCAATTCTTGAACCCCCCCCCCCAAAAAAAAAACCTGTAGCAGTGAATTGATAATAGTTGTGATTCTGCAGAGGTGTCTAATGCCACACATTAAGCTATCCAATGATTATTTTTATAGCCTAGTAAGACACTGATTGAAATTTCTGGGTCAAATACCAACATTATCCCACAGCAAGCCAACCAGCATTTGATGAGCTATTTAAGGGGAAATTTATGGTGCTACATTTTCTTTATAACACAGTTGGCTACACTAGTACAGGTAGCAGATATATTGACTTCTCAGCCTCAGTCAGGAGAAAGATAAGGCAAGCCCACAAATCTAAGGAGTCATTGCCATTCAAATCACCTTTTAAACTAATAAGTGGGAAAGAGATGAAGGCTGTTCCATTTGCTGACCTTGACCAAGTATTATCTTCTGACAGGGTTATATTTCTTTAAGTTTTATACAATGAAAGAAATGAAACATTTGTCAAGTATTTCCACACCTCCAAAGTGTTGTTCATGACTATCCAACATTAATCATAGTATGTATGTCACAAAAGATAAGCTGCAGCTCACCAGAAAAAAAAAAAAAAGTGAACAATATCTTGACAAAGACCTATGAACCAAAATGCAAATCAGTACCTCTTAACAAACAGCTTCTCTTCCTCTTGAAGTTTTTAAAAGTAAGAACATGGCTTCCAGTATGGCCAAGAAAATAAACTAAGAATATAAAATGACATTTTGGGAGATATAATTGAAAATGAATTTGGATTTTAAATAGTGTACATAAAAAAGAGACTATGGGGGAGTTAGGGTGCTTTGACTCTTAGAGCAAATTCTGGACTGTTTGGTGAAGATCCTGCAGAGGTAATACTTCTTCATACATGAATTTCCACTGAGAATATGTCACGGCAGTTTTGACTCCTTAAAAACAGAACTATAAAATGGAAATAAGAGAATGTGTACAGTATCTAGACTAAATATCTTCTGTGCCAGCTAAAAATTATAGTCATTCCTGTGAAAGCCTGTGGAAAGCTTTCTGAATGAAGAGACATTTTAATGCTGAATAGGTGTGGTCTTAAGCCCTTTTTATTAATATAGCTTAGCAAATTGAGAAGATGTAAATATTCTGCATAAATCGCCATATTTTAGTTAAGCAACAAATATTCCCATTTTAAACAAGGATACCTCCTTTCACAAAGTTCATTAGATTTTTATTATATACAGATAAAAAAGAAAGCTTCTGTTTGATATTGCTGTTATTATATTATTCAGCAAGAAATTATGTATTTACCACAGTTATGCACTGAAAATTCAAAATGACCTAGAGAAGGAAGTTGTCACTGACACTGGGAAGCTGAGTAACAATTTCCAAAAAAACTATGAAGACACATGAAGAAAAGATAAGGAAGAGAAAGCGGCAAAAGTACAAATCCCCATCCATGTCTGATCTTCTGGGCTCACAGAGGGTCAAAAATAATAGACTGCCTGTGGCAGGTGAGGTTTTGTGGCACATGAGATGGCTTTTCCCTAGCCACACTGAAAACTGGGTTTTAGATTCTTCTGCAAGATGTTGGGCGAAGTTCACTGAGAAGCCAACCTGTGTGAGATCCCTGCAACACACTTACCTGTACAGCTGCCTGCCTCTGGGCGAGAGCTCTGTGCTGAGAAAGTAACTGCAGGAAAGAACACAACACGTACGTTAAAATTCAGTCTCTTTTTATTACAGTGATTCCACATAAGTCTTCAAAAAGAAAAACAAACAAGCATTGTTTCATTATTCAACCACAGGACTTTGATCAACTTAGCAAACATATATATATATATATATATATATATATATATATATATATATATATTCCCCTCTTTATAAAATCACTACCCTTTTGCATGATCTCAATTTCTCTGTGTCATTCATCCCCATGTGTCAGTGCAATATGTCTCTGAGTTAAGTACAGAGGAATTCTGAAAGAAAACTTCATTTTTTACAAGGGTGGCTTGGTTTAATTAGGGTTATGGTAAGAAAAATGTAATTCTAGTCAAAAGGATCTCACTTGACAGCGCAGACAGCCAGCCTGGGGACAGAAACTGAAAATACTAACATTTTCTGAGTAGTTTCGTCATATGCCAAGATCTTTATCACTTCCCAGTTTCCCGATGTCAGATGCCGCACGGTAATTTGCTCACTTTTACTCTGCAGAGAAATGGAAAATATTGATTTACCTTTTATTTAAACAGCATGTCTCCGGTAAACACGAAAATACCAACTGCCAGTGCCACATTTAATTCTTTAATTCTCGACTGACATTCAGCTTTATGTGTTAAGTCTCAAAAGGCAACACTGTCTTATAACCACAGACCCAGATAGGGCTGTCCCTTTATTCCTGTGTTGTAAGAAACATTCAGAAAACCTCAGGTGAGCCCGCACCTGTGCACTGTTTCAACAGCAGGGTTTTGTAATCCTGTTTGCTTATTTTCACTCTGTTTCAGGTGTAAATCTATGTTGATAATTATAGTCATGGTTCATATGTATCTCACTGAAAAAAGACAGTATGACCAATTGCTTTTTAAAATTTGAGTTATTTCTAAATTTTAATTTTTCTCTGATATCCATCAAAATATTTCCAGAAGTCTCTATTTTTTGCCTTTGTTATCTCTAAATTTATTTATTTGTTGTAATTTTTAAGTTCCTTTATAGAAATCTGTCACTTGTTGGTTTCTTTCTATTTTATGAGGCCATTTCTAAGCTATTAAATATCTCATTAGAACTATAACTTGATAACTACAAATATTTAGTGATATTTAACTCACATTGTAACATCGTTTTACAGTTTTCCTTTGCTTTATACTTTTTTGTTGTTATTCTTCAGGAGTATTTTCACTCTTTAGTGTATATTTATACCTACCTCTAGCATTCCTCACATAGTAATGCTTTAATATAAACATATGTTTTTTTTTCTTTAGAAACATCTTGAATATCCCAGGCTATACATACATGAAGGGGATGAAAGATTTTGTGACTCACCAGCTTTATATTGTTCATACTCTAATAAATAATACACCATTATAATAAATAATTTACAAAATATCATAATGTGGAAACTTAGAATCGGGTATGTATATTCGGAAATCTGATAATTTTTTTTCTTTTGTAGATACTTTAACTTCTACCACTAGTTTCTCTCTTTCCTTTTATCTTTATTAATCCAAGAGATGCTTTTTCTATCATTTTCCTCTTTCTTGAATGGTAATTGTTAAAAACTATCTTCTGTGGTTTTGTGCATAGTTCACTTTTATTTCTGTCTCAATGCTGACTTTTAAGGGACCATAATTAGAAATCCACTCTCCATTACATTACATTATTTATGGGGAATGTCTTTATCAGCTCAAAGAAGTTACATGAAGTCCTAAATTTTTAAGTTTTCTGAATATTGGTTTTGTTGCATATAATGTATCCTGTCTCTACATCTACTAAATAGTTATTGCTTTTCACATGTAATATGTAAACATGTAATATGTACATGTAATATGAACACATTGAATTATCTTGTATATTTTAAAACGTTAAGCAAATTTAACACTCCTGTGATAAAAACAACTAAATTTCTTAAGATATTGAAGAATTCAACTTGCCAATATTTGGTTTAGAATTTTTTTTTTAACTTTCCATTTTTTCTCTCATGTATAAGATTTGCTTTTTTGTTACTACATGATACACGAATCATAAAATACATTTAAGAAAATTTTACCTTTTTCCATTTTTAGAATAAGATTTTATAAAGCTATCAGTACAATTTCATTGATTTTTAAAATTCTACCTTTAATATGTCTATGCCTGATGTAAAAAAATTTAAATGATAGTGCCATTTTCCTAGTATTTTGGCATACTTTAGATTATCTATTTCATAAATCAGATTCATATTTTTCAAGAATTTATTGAATTCTAAATTTAAAATTTTTGACATAAAGTTACTCTTGATATTTTCCTAAAATCTTTTTGAATATTCAGCTTTAATCTCTGTAATACTTTAGAGACCTTTCCAATTTTTAATTAATCTTGATAGAATATATGAATTTAATTATCCTAATTAGTAATTTATTTATTTACTTTCTTCAAGAAATCATTTCTTTATATCCCTTTATCTTAGTTTTCTAGGACACTAATTTCTAATTTTTAAATTCTCTTTTATTCTTCATCTAAATTTCTTCTTAAATAAATCTTGACCTTAGATTTAATTTTTAATTTTTTATTTTAAAGAGGTTAAGATTAAAGAGGACATAACAAAGCAGATCAGAACAATTTAAGCAACACAGTATTTTACCACAAAACAACCCAATATAACAGTACCTACCATAATGTCTCTTTCCTTGAAATAGTTGAACATACATCTTCATACACAATAGTATCAAACATAACAAAATAGTATAAAACTTGACCATATATATATATAACTTATTTTTCATATGTATATGGGTTACTTAAATGTTTCAAAATATCCCATATTTCTTAGATGTCTATATCATATATATTCAAACATGCAATATGTTAATTTAATTCTACTGTTTGAGGGTATATTCTTGAAGTGTGAATATTATACAGGTTATATTTTTATATTTCTTTTCAACTTTTTGACCTGTTACAAATTATAATTATTACTAATGCCTCATTCATTTGCATTATCTTTATAGATTATAATCTATTAAGGGAGTATTACTTTCAATGTAACTGGTTATAAATTTGTCAAGAACTCGGTTATTTGCTATAGATGAGTTTTATTATCCTATCTACCACACTTGCTACCAAACTCAATAGAAACTAAAAGTGTATCATTTACTCCACTCTGCATATATAGGATCTTCCTTCAGAAAAATATCCAGTGTCTTAGTGGTGTACCTCTGCATTTTGATCCCATAAATATCTATTCCTCACTCTTAAAAGAAGTTAATTTTGCCTTCAAATGCTTTAAATTCAACAAAAAGCATTTGAGTTCCCTACAAGTTCTTTATATATTGAGACAATTCTAGGATTTCCACATATTTGCTAACTAAAAGTACAAATGCAATGATGTATTCCCATTTGTGAAATTAAGACAGATACAGCTCAAAATTTGGTGAGGGATCCTAAAGTCTGTCATTTTATTGTCAAGTTTGCTCACCTATAATGATCTACTTAATAGCTACCGTAACTTACTTCTAGGCCTTACTTTGATTGAATCAAAGAGAACATGATATTAACATTTCAGTTTTAGTGCACATTTGGTGTCAATTTCAAAATGAAAAAAAAATTTACATCATTAATAGTTAAATTTAGTCCTATATTGGTAAATATCTGGAGACATTTTTGGTTCACAGTTTTTAGTTTGTTACTTCCTTTTGGCATATATTTTTTGGGTACCTCAAGAATAGAAGAGGAGCTTTATCAAAATGGTCCTCAGAAAAAGTCTATTGCTTTGAGAAATGTGGAAGCAGCATGTATCCAAGAGTAAAATTTTACCATAATCACTTCAAATATCCATTTGACTCAGAATAGTATACTTTTAAGTATAGAAACAAAAGATAATCTTATTAGGAGCTAAAATGAGAACCACAGTCTCTTTTGAATTTACTGAAACATCTACAGTGGCACTGGTTGTTAACTATCTACCACAGCAAAAATGGTCTGGGGAATAAATCAACTCTCATTTCACAATCACCCAATTCCCAACAATACATAGCTAGTGTCTATGGCCCAAGAATGGACATGTAAATTTTGATCTGTCAGTAAATAATCCTAATGGCAATTAGAACATGGTAGATTGTCATAGAGAACATAACAAAATACCAAGGGACTTGACTAGTTTTTCAAACCCTTTCAGTAAAAATAAAACAGCAAGAATGGAAATTTAATAATTTAGGAAATAATAACAAGTTTTAGTCTATATTAATTTTATTTTCTGTGCATAGATGATCTAACATATTAATGTGGTTTAATAGAAACACTAAATGTGAATATAATGCTATGGTAGACTTGTAACAAACACAATATGGTAGTATTTTTTAAATTGAACTCATACTTCACCTTTTATTTTAGAACAAAAAAATCAAATCACTGAGTTTGTTTATTCTTCAATGAAAGTCGAAAATCTTGAATATGGCCCTGTTTTTTTACTTAGGGTTATGTACCAAGCACCTTTTCTAAATTTGTGGGGATTTTGATCTCCGCCAAAGAAGTAAAATATCAATTTTATATTCTTACCCAAAATTTGGAAACACATTGGTATCAGTAAAATTTTAATAGTACCTGTGAGTTTTAGCTAACTATGCTGCCTTCACTCAAATATCTGATGTGAATTCTGTTTAACTTTTACAGCTCTTAAAGAAGAGAAACGCAATGCTCAAAAATAGCATGCATTGATTTATTGTCTATTCACTACGTGAAATAAGCTTAATTGTTTTCAGACAATGTCCTAATCAGATAAAGCAGTGAAATTTAATGGAAAAATTTCATTGGGTTGATTAGGTGATACAATTGTGAATTGGGGGCATGATATTCTCTAAAGTATTTGCAGTGAATAATAGCACTTAAAATTGTTCCAAGTGAAATCATCAGCTCTTACGGGCAAAACTTCATGCTGCTGAATAGAGAAAGTGATTGGATTCACCAACGTATAATTTTTCATTTAACACAATTTAGGGAGATGATAGTGTGATTGCGTATGCCCATGAGTGTGAACCACTTAACCAACAGAAACTGGGCTTACCCCACATTTAGAGACAAGGAGGCATGCATTTGACAAAAGCCTGTCTTTGAACTGCAGCCTGAATTGCAGCAAGTAGGATGTTACTGTTTAAGAGATATGAATTCAGAGCTAGAGGAATCTACAAAAAATGTTATTTTCAGAGAAAGAGTACCGGGTTATATGAACTGATCAAAAGTCCAATGGTTGAAGGGAGAAGAAGTTTTGGCTCAGTGTGAGTTTCAGGAAGTACATAATGGTATTTATATGCATACAGCAAATACTTGTTCAGAATTTTGCATATAATATCATATATTCAGTTGTCCAGAAAAAAAATAACTATTTTAACTCTATTAATTTTCAGAAAGATGGTCTGAGGATCTTCAGCAGCACAAGTGCCTGCCTGGCAAGCACAGGGTTCAGAGTTTGACTCCAGGTACTGACAAAAAAAAAAAAAAAAAAAAAAAGAAAAGAAAAGAAAGAAAGAAAAAGAAAAATGGTAATTTTTCTTGTGTGTGCTCCTTTTCTTTCAATTTTTATTTTTTAGTCCATGTTTGTAGTATATAATGATCATAGTGCTCAGGGGAGTGGTAGATCTTAATTGTTTTTTAAAATTTCCTTCCCTTTGTCTTCCTCCCTTATCCCTCCATCTTTTGAACCTCATTCCTTTTACACACAAAAAAAATCCATTTCCTTATTTCCTATTATATATCATTTATTTTGTTCAGTTTTTCTAACATTTAGTTTACTACATCAAAGAAGGGAAAATGCTCACAAAAAATCTTTTTCACATATTCACAATGAAATTAATCTGGAAATGCATATATAAGGGCAAAGAAACATTTTACTGTTGATCCAGCAATTCAGTTATATTAGATAATGTGAAGAAATAATTCATAACATAAATAGATTTTATTTAAGGTGTCACATAACAAATTGCCCCTCTATTACATTGCACAATCTGGTTATCTATGGACCTCCAGTCAAATAGATGTCAATTTTTAAAGAATCATCTTTAAAAGCCATTTTATGGTTTGAACAACTTTGTGTTCTAAATTTAAATTATCAGAATGTAATATGTAGTGTACACACCATCACATTTTAATGGAAGACTAGAGAAAAATATACGAATTCTTCCTGTTTTTATTTTTTGGAATTATTTTAACAAGCTAAAGCTTTTGTAAATATTTCCAACAACAACACTCACTCTACATAATGAAAATAGCCTGAGAACAATAATTTGGTAAGATAACGTCTAATGACTTTAATCTATTTATGGATTGTGCAAAAGAACAAAATGTTTGCAATTTCATTTAGTAAGCACTAGAAGAAAACAAACACGTTCTGAGTGAATCAGGAAGCGCTCAAATGTGGAGCATCCAGTCTGCAACAGTGCTTTTGGGGACAGGAGCTGCAGAGCCTCCTGGCCCTGTAGCTCCCCATTTTCTGTGCATGGCACATTTAAATGCAATGGTATGGCATGATACTAGCTGCAAGAGGAGTACCACATCACTCATGTTGGCATACTTAACTGTTCAGACTGTAAATTTCTATGCTTTTTTGGAGCAGCAAAATTTGTGCTATATACCAAGATTGAAATGCTTCATGTATATGTTTTTTTCACCTTTTAACATCTAACGGGGTGTGTTTTTGGGAATAACTAAAAATAGAAAAACATGTTTATATATGAATGTTTATCTCTGACTCATACTAAAACTGAAAATAATATATTCTATTTTAGCATATTACTATATATTGTCCCCTCAGTAATATAGTAATGAAATTCATGCGACAGCTGTTTTATAAGCTATTACTAAACTGAGGAAAGAACCTTTAAGCTATTTCATAAAATTGTATGTATGGCTGTGTGCAAATGTGTTAATATGCATGTATAAACATAGGTATAAACTGTATTCACCTATCACAAACCTCTGATTCATTAACAAAGTGATTAATTTTAGTCTATCACCATAGTATCTATACATAATCATACAGTCATGCCTATTTTTCAGTGAGGCAAACCATAAATACCCTGAATAGTAATTAGAAACAGGTAAAATGTTTTCTTATTTAATGAAAGCTTTGTAATAATCTCTACACAGAAGACAAAGATACCCCATCTGCTTTTTTTCCTTTTGAAAGTGTGGGAAGACATGAATGAAATTACAGGTCAGTTTGGTTTAATTTGGAACAGAAGTTATTTTTCCCCATGAATTAAAAGAATTCTTGATTACATGTGTAAATATCTCAAATCGCACATGGCAACATCAACATTTTGTCTAATACTATTCTGGATGCCATTCCTCCTAATATGTGGAATAGATGGTTTTCTTTGTGGGACATAAATGTAGTATGAATACTTATTGTATATCTTTTCCCATCCTTCATTATAGTTAAGAAGCATCCATGATTTCTATGTCATTTTTACGACTTAGCTCTTCACACAGCTTGTTGAAAAGAACATACTGAAACTTAAAAAAAATTCAGTACACCACAGTAATTTATAAGAATTTGAAAAGTGTATTTTTTTGCCAAATATTACCTTGTATTTATTCTAACAAAGTTTAATTATTAGCTGGAACTACTGACATACTCAATCAAGCTCGATAAAGAAACACCCCAAATTTTGTTCCTATAAATGTGTGTGTGTATATATATATATATATATATATATATTCAATTAGAATATTAATGGAGTCACGATGCACAGTAGTCTATAATCTGCATTTCTGCCTTAATAAATATTCTATGAAAATCAGTCTACATCACTACTTTGGAAATGATACCTGTGTAAATTATTTATTTTAGCATTGATTAAAATTAAAGGTAAATATATGACAATTATTTTAATAGCACAGACTTTGAACATTTTTAAATTTTAAACTACTGATACCAGATTTTAAGAATGCAGAACATTAAGATGCCCAAGAAATATCCACATAGATAATAAATTTTTCATAGTATATAGGAGTTGAAAGTTCTAAGAATTTAAAAGTAGCAAAGTTAGATAAAAACCTTTAACCACATTAATATTTCCTGTGTATTTGTTAAGTTTAAATGATTCTTGGTTGGCTTTTGTAATCGTCTCATAAAGGTTCTTATTTAGTCACTCACAATGATTTATCACTGTAAAGCCTTTTACCTATGAGGTTAGGATGTTTATTTGATTCTGAAAGATGCTTTATTTTGTCATGAATATTTCCTATTGAAAATTAAATTTAAGCCGCCTATAAGTGTGCCATTTAAACCACCTTTGATGCTTTTAAAAATAATTAAATAAAATGTAATCATTAAAATTGATACTATTCTTTTGAAGTTTAGAGGAAAAATAAAATTCTCATCTTCTTTTCAACAAATTCCTTATAATGTAACAGCCTCTGTATTTTTGACAACACACGAAAAACTATTTTATTATTTTTAAAAATCTGCATTGTATTTTTGTTTATGTACTGATTCAATTTTGATGAATATTATTTGTGTTGATTATTCAAAAATTTTATAATTGTTTGAAAATATTACCAAATATAGGCAAAAGATATTAGTTCAATAAAAACTAACCTTTCCATTTGCCTCAGCATGTTAAAAGCTGGGTGTTTTCAATTTATTAAATTCTGTATCCCAAGGCCCTCAGTTCATTGCACATTTGACTCTATCACTAAATTTTCTGGTGTGTGGAGACTGTTTTTGCGAAAGTGAAGTCTGAATTTATGGCGTGGATAAGGATCCTTTTCTTAAACATTACTGAGCTGGATATAACTGGATCCACTCTGTAGGCTCCATGTCAACAAAAATTAGGTTTGCAGGGACGTAACAACAGTGAAGTCAAATACAGAGAGAAACCAGCACCTACCTGAACAAAGAACATAGCTATGTGGTAGAATTCTCCACGACCCCCTTGCTTAACAGGAACAGTCATGAAGAATTTGCTGCCATCTCTGGAAAATACAGGCTCTTCATTCTGAAATATAGAAGCAGTCTTGAGAATCTCAAAATAGCATATGGAATTTGTTCTTTTTTACACTACAAAGTCAAAGCATGGGTTGTATTGACTTAGTTTGGAAGGTAGTCAAATTATTTATTTTATTAGAACATGTTTCCATTCCTTGTGAGGAGCTGGCATGTATGCAGAATGCATTTTAATTTCCGTTTTTCTTCCTCTTCCTCCTCTCCCTTCTTTTGATCCTCTTCCTATTTGAGAAAGATCTATCTCTCTACTTTCTATTATTTGTCATTTATTTTGTTCTTTATTTATAAAATAGAAGATAAATTGTACGATATTCAAGCTTGTTTTTCTATTTACTTCACTTAACAGTGTAGTATCAAAGAGCATCCATTTTCCTACAAATGGCTCAAGTTTATCCCACTTATGGCAACGTAATACTGCTTTGGGTAAACACCACATTTCTTTATCTGTTCATCTGCTGATGAACATATGGCTGTTTTCAAACTGTAACTATTAGGAATTGTGCTGCTGTAAAAATGAATATGCATGCATCAGTATAATAATGATGTCTTTAACTGTTTGTAAGATACCTAGAAAGGAAAAGCTGAGTCAAATAGAATTTTAGTTTTAGATTTTGGGGAAATCTCTATACTGGTTTTCATAGTAGTTATCCTATTTAAAAATAAAACATATAACATTCGTTAAAAAAACTAAGTTAATACTACAATGTATGTTTGTTATTGGTGAGAAAAAGGCAGTTTCTTTCAAAGTATATAGAAATTATTTAAAATTAGACTACATACATATTTTAAATTTATTTACAGCAGAACTTTTGTATCTTTACATGAGACTGTTTGACAATTTATACTTTAAAGATAAAGGAAATGTTCATATCTGTATGACATCAAAATATATATTCTCTAAAAATTACAGCATGCTATAATATGTTAATATATTTTTATGAATCTTTTACTCAACATCTCTAGATACTTGAAGATTCATTTCTGTTTACTAAAAACATGAAAGTTACAAGGCCACAAAATTAGAAGACAGAAAAAAATCATGTAATGCAAAATCCCCATTCTCATTGTTTATATATTCACAAATGCAAACAAAATGCCTAACCACACCAGTAAATCCTTAGTTGATTATTTTAAATTAAACTCTAGTGGCATGTTTAACAAGTAGAATTATTTTCAAAAATTAAATGATGGAGGACATACATTTTTATTCATTTATTCTGTTTTAAGGATAATATTTTTAAAATGGTTTTATCTGAAAACATTGGAGGTTTTTCTGACAGATTAATAATGGTGGTTACATCTATGACATAAAGAAAAGCTTTGAAATGGTTTCTGCTATAGATTTTTAATATGACCTCAAAGCCCTTGCAAGTGGCCATTTGCTGTCTTTCTGATGCTTCTATTTTTCTTGTTGCTCTTTCCCTAGCCTCCCACATGTTTCTACTCCATGACCTTTGCAGGTTTTACTGCCTTTCTCTGGCTCTTTTCCCTGTCTAATTCCTGTGTCTTTTCCAGTATCACCACATCAATGAGGTACTGCCTGATTAACCCATGTAAAGATCCAGAAAGAAGCCAGACTATCCAGCTCTACTTCATGTCCTTCATCCTGCTTACATTCTTTTTTGTACTTTTACAGACCATTACACCATTTGACTTGTACATTGTTTGTATGTGTTTGTGTGTGAAAGCAAGCAGTATGTATGTATGTATAAAGGTGTATATATATGTATGTGTGCACAGTGCTCCGATAGAAGGTGAACATCATGAGGCAGAAAACTTGTACCCTTTCTGCCACATTTCCAGCACTATAAGCCACGGAAACTCTGTTCAGAGTTCTGAATAAACAGGCCAGTTCATGGCTGTTTTTGTCATATTAGTTTCATTAGTAAGATTGTCTCTGATTAGCAACATCATAAAGATAATATTTCCTTGTTCATTTTATGGGCATTCAAGAAATTATAAGAATATATATGTGATAAATAAAAGATCTCAAATAATATACACTTCTAAGTTGAGGAAATTTCACAATTAGGTACTTTTAATAAATACAGACAAAATACTTGACTTAGTGAAGTCCATGGATCAATTATGACAGAGTGAGTAACTCTGTTTGTTCCATCTCCTGATGCTCTTCAGTCTCTCCACACTAATTTTGCACATGGGAGCCCTTCCATCTGGGACAACTTTTCCATCTTTGTTTTAGTTCTAAATCTTACTCATTTTTAATCTCATGAGACATACAGTGTTTTTTGAATTTCTGTATAGAATATTTCCTAAGAGGAAATTTTTCTTCAGTCTGAAAAGTATATTTGTCATCATTTTTCATGGCTTTTAATGTACCATATCAGCATTTCTGTGGAACACAATGACATAATTGTTGAGTATGAGAATGGATGTGTGCAATAGAGAAACATATTTAAGTTTAACATTATATCTGCTACATTTCCTCTAAAACTTGGTTCCTCTTTCACTCACCATTGTCTTTTAGTGCTTCATTCAAAGGATAAAGTTGCTCTATTTGTGCAGATATTTGATTATTCTCTGATTACATTGACCCCCTTTTCCAATTCTAGTTCATTAAAAATAGTTCAGTAACAAAAAGTAGATTAAGGCTGCCATTCCAGGATTTACAGATTTTTAGTGTTAAGATCTGACTGGAAACACACATTTCTATACAGATAGAGCCATTTTACTTTATGACCTTATGGATCAGTGGTCCTTGCATGCAGGGGTTTGTATTTAGATACTGAACTCTGTTCCTTGACCAAACATATTCTATGCTGTTTACCCAACTGTAAAGATTCTTGAATGCTAGGCTAAATATATCATTTCTCTTGGCATACCTATTAGCAAGAAAATGAACTCACAATTCTGTCACATCTCTAATTACAAGATATTTTAGATAATTGCTTCTTCTCATTTGTGTTAATATGATCATCCCCTAAATTTGAATTTTATATAATTCTAACCATCGAATAAATGCCCTTAGAAATTCTGAAATAAAATCAAATACAATGAAATACAAACATATTTTTGAATAGTTGATAAAATGATAATTTGCCTTAAACTTTCTATTAAACTTTTATAAACTTAGAATTTTTGGATTTATATAAAGGTGATGTCTATTACACTATTATAAATGTGGCTGGCAGATTCAATAAAGCAAGAGAAATCATAATACATCAATATTCATTTATACTCTTTTTTAAAGTTTAGGTGTCTAAATGTAATGAAAGTACATTATAGACTGCAAAAATGAAGTTTTTATTCTGATTTTATCTTGATCACTGACTAAAATAATTTTTTGCATTAACATATATCTATATAGATGAAAATATATACTGGGGAACCCTTTTAGGTTTACTTCTGAGTTGTCAGTCTGACTTACATTGTAGAGAGTTTTGGTTTTCACTCTTTTATTCATCATTACAAGTGTACTTGTTCACAGAACATTGTTAAAACTAAGATGCTTCTAAGGAAAACATGATCCTTGGACAATCTCCAAATGACCAATCTACATAGAGATTTGGTCAGTCTGGGAGGCAATCTGAATAATGCAGATGCTTTCAGGTTTATGGGTTGCCACTCTCTCTTTGACTTACACAAATATTTACTTCTATGATTAATTCAGAAAATGGATTCTCAGTGTTATTCTAACATTAGAGCCCATAAAGAGACCAAAGTAATCTGTTTTCAAGTGATGCATTAAAATGCCCAGTCACTAATTTTTAGTGGAAATAAATCACTCTGTCGAACATACCAAAATTTTAAAGTCAAGTGAGTGAAATAATTTTTCAAAGAAAGCTATCACACAGTAAATGGATGAATAGAATGACTACAAGAGCCATGGTGTGACAAAATCACCTATACAATACCTGTTTAGAAAGCCAGGTGTCTGATGTCATCTCATATTTCTGAAAAAAAAAAATTTCCATGAAATGTTAGCACCAAAGTAAGCATATGTCAATACAATGTTTTACCTTGCTGTCTTCATATATTTTCTTCTTTTATTCAAATACAGAAACATCATGAGATCACATTGTCTTTATTGATTCAAAGTGAATAAAGTAGAGAACTCAAGTTTAAGGACAGTTTAATTATAGTCTTTTGTGTGTGTGCACAGGAACTCCTTCAGAATTTTTACCTATGCAAAGATAGATCACGAAGGATAGATCACTTCCTAGTCTGTGGAATTACCTCATTTGAACCACCAGACTCTGTCTCTTTTCACCTCTGGACATCATAAGGAAACAAATTATTAAGCCTACAAATGAAACTAGGCCAAAGACCGGCATAAAATTTTTTAAATGGGCATTATTTTAAGATTCAATCTGGTATTTATCATAGCCATTTTTTCTTATTTGTAGTGCTTAGTTTTAAGAGCAAAGAAAATTTCGGAATAACAAATACATATTACTTTAAAATATAAATTGTTAAAATCAAAATTCTATTTCCAGAAAAAATTTTTAACTAATTCAACTTCAGATTAAATGCGTACATAAAATACTCTAGTGATAATGTTTCTGTGTACTGACATGAAATATGTTATGTTTTTCTGAAAAAATGATGCAATAATAAGCATTCTGAATGTAGGAAAACAAATTAGAGATAAAATAGAAAAAACATATATCTCTAGTATGCTACCAATTTTCCTACACATGCATTTCAAACTGTGTAATTATTATTAATGTATAGTTTTATGTAACATTTTTTTCTAAATTTACATATATTACTTTGTCTTTATAATTGAACACTTTCTCTTTTGGAGGCATTTTTTTTCAATAGCTCTTCACTCTTTGAAGATATCAGAAAAATATCTAATAAAATTATTCTTGGTTATTTGTGCTCAACAGTGAACATTGTTGGTAGCTAGAAAAGTGGCATAATAAATAGATAATGATGCCACTGCTCATGATACCATCAAATTTTCTTAGAATTCATTGGAGCTGAAAAATTCATAAGCTATTATTTGTCTGATTTTAATTAACTGAAAATAGAACACTTAAAATCTAAAATGGTATAGAACTATGATATAAATCAATAAAGTATCAAATGAACAATATGATAGGAGATATATATATATATATATATATATATATATATTCTTTTTGTAGCATTTTAATTATCTTTGTGTTTACCTATAGTGGAAACATTTAGATTATTCTTGCATAGCTAAAGTAACACTCTCTCTGATTAACTAGACTACATGAAAACTAATTTTTAAATGAAAATCAGTTGAATATGATACCATCTAGAGCAATGTATCATATACACAGAGCAAGTCTAGGCAGTCTATAATATAAGGAGACATGATTCCAGATAAAGGAGAATTTATCTCCACATAAAAGAGACAGATTTCCTACTAATATTAAGCCTAATGTGACAAGTGTGAATCAAACCTTGTAAATAAAGGTTGCTTCTACTATTTTATTTCCAAATGTACACTCAACACTCCATTCACAGAGAAATATCTGTGTACACATTTCTGTCTTCTACAACCTATTTAAAAGTATGTTTTAAAGATTTCAATATGTAGTGAAATCACAAATCTTCAGCGTATAATGTGAAATGTTTCAACAAGTATATTTACTTCCCATCAGGGGGCTGGACTTTCACAATTCCTCAGAGCCTCCTGTGGCTCTTCCTAGAGGTTCCAAGTGGGTAATCACTTCTGACCTTTCCCTATGTTTTCCCTATTTTAAAAATAAAAAAAAAAATTAAAATCATGTATTATATAATCCTGAATTTGAGGTTTTCTGCCTATCACATATTTGTGTTTCACTATCATTAAAAGTATTAACATTATCTTTCTGTTCCTTTTTAATTGTTGAGTTAAATTCATTATAGGGCTAAATTTCATTGTATTGATACGTTAGTGTTTCAATATATTTCCTTTGAATGGATAATTGAATAGTTGTCAGCTTTTTAGCTACTGTTAATAAAGGTTTCCTCAAGAGACTTTATTTTGTTTTTACAAATTCTTTGGTAACATGCTTTTTGAAAAAAAATAACTGGAAATGGAATTACTGAATGTGCTTACATGTATTTGTTGTAACCTAGTTTTAAACATTGTGCCTCATTTTCTGTTCTGTATGCGTCTTGCTGCCTCCACCTCCCCTTTCCCCTTCTTATCTATCTAGATTAAGTTTCAATTTCCTGAGAAAGCTGTAAAAGCATTAGGTATCAGTTTACTGTAACCCCCTCCCCTACCCCTCATCTGGCTATCTGTAATAAAATGTGCTGTTCTTTAAGGAATGCTTAACTTCAAGAAAATTACAAGAAATTCTCTAAGGCCCAACTGCTACCTAGCTGTGTCAACAGTTACAGCATTCCTGTGGTTTTTAACTTTAAAAGTCACTTCCCTTAGCTGTGAGGCGTGCAGTCTCCAAATTGGCTCCTGGAGACTGTGACACCAGGCCTGGCCTAAAATAAAGCCTTTGCTCCCCAAATTTTAATTTCTTGCTTCCTTGGGTTTTACTCCGGGTTCCGAGCTATCACAGTATTTATATACAATTGCTTATATGAATACTTAATATATGATATATGCTATGTTAAGTGTAAATATGTTAAACATAAATATATGTTAAATGTAAATATGTATGTTATTGTATTTACAAATAGGTCCATTTGACACTGAAAAATATGTTTTAAAGTGCTTATCATTTTACTTTTACATCTGCAAAAATGAAAAAATTAACTTTCCACATTCGTAACAAATAACATTGTCAAGCTCTTAAGTTTTAATGTAGTTTATTCTAATGGTATGTTATGTTATCTCATTATGTTTTTTGTTTTGTTGTGTCTCATCTTTTCTTTTTTGTAGTGGTAGGGATTGAACTCATACCCTCTGGAATGCTAGGTAGATTCCCCTATTACTGAGCTACATTTCTAGATCTCATTATGAGTTATTACTGTCTTATGAGTTTGAATACTTTATTACATGTTTATTATTTTATAATTATCTGTTCATGAGTCTGATGTTTTTACTGAGTTGTCATTAACATGGTGATAGAGGGTTTCTTTCCCTATTTCTTTGTCAGATCCACATTTTGCAAAATACTTTTCCCTAGCATGTGATTTGCTTATCTATTTCCTTTACAGTGCCTGTGATGACACTTCTAATTTTTATGACACCATATGTTTTTTTTTAATGCTTAGTGATTTTTTTTTGCCTAATTTGAATTGTGTAGCTGCATTGTGTATTTTCCTCTACATGTTTAACAGTCTATGTTTAGAATTAGGACAGTGATTTTCTCAGACAGACTCAGAATATGATATGAAATAGATGTCATACTTTTTTTTTTTTCCTCATTTGGTTGTCAGTTGTTCCCGGACCACTTTTCCCTATTCAGTAGTTACTGCATCTGTGTTTAAATCAATTGATCACATAACTGTCTATTTCTGTAAACAATTCAGTTTACTATTTTTTATTATTTAAGATCTTTATTAACAGCTGCTTGCAGTTTGTTGACTTTTTTGAAAAAATCAAGTTGTAAACTTCTATTACAAATTAAAGTTCTTAAAAAGCTCAACTCGACCAGATTATGAAACAATTTAAAAACCTTTAAAGGTGTATTGAGAAAAACCAGGCTTTTTTAAAAAACACATTTGTCATTACCAAAACGAGACACCTTTAGGTAAAAATAATAAAAACCCTGTGTTGCATAGATAATGCACACAGTTGTAGTTTTCTGGTCAACTGGTAATAAGCAAGCACTTAAAGTCTTCAGTTCCAATCTTTTGTTCGTTTCTTATTGCTGGAATTTCCTATTCCTTTCTTCTTGCTGGATGACTAACACGATGATGGTGGAGATGTTAAGCCAGCATTTACTCAGCCCTGCCCTGCTCTGCCTTGGAGTGGAGGAATTCTCAGATGGTGGATCTGCTGCTTTTGTGGCTTTGCCATCTTGTGGTTTAGGGTTTTCTGGGCATCTGCATTGGTATTTGAAGTTGCCAAGGTACTGACGTTGAGGTGGCTGCTGACCTTGGGTCTCATGGCCTTGGTTTTCCTTATCTTCTTCATTGCCGTCCTCTCTAGGCTGACTTTGGCTGGGAAGGTCCCTGCAGTATCCTGATCTATAGCCTCATACATACTTTATCTCACTTGTCTACCCCTTTCTCCTGCGCCCTGGTTGTCAGCAGCCTCCATCACTTGTCCTTGCACAAGGAGGGCTGGAATACTGTGGTCCATGCTCATAGGGTCTCCGCATGTAATGAGGTGGGAACCTTGGCCTGCAGTAGGGCCAGCGTTGTTGTTGGGCCTGGCCTTTAGGAGCACTCTGTCCCCTTGTTCTTTCCTCCACTCTCACTGTTCTGGTAATTGCTGGTTATTGCATGGAGGACCCCTATGACGTGGATAGCATCTATAACGGTTAAGGTCTGCTGCATATTTACTGTGGGGGGGGGGGCAAGGAGGGCGAGGAAGGGGCGGGGCGAGGGAGGGGCGGGGTCTCTGCCTCGCTGCTCAGGGTTGAGGTGAAGATGACCTGCTCAGGGCTTTCTGGGGTCCACTCTCTGCTTCCCCCTACCGCTGGAACTCTCACTTTACTATTTGCATACCTCTGTATTTTCCTCACCATCTCTAGGCTTCTGTAGCTTTGTAGTTACAGTAGTCTTGAAATTCGGCAATACAAATTCTTCTGTATTTGTTTTCTTTAGGAAGTGGCTTTGGCTGGCTTGGGTCTTGTACATTTTCATACCAATTTTTAACTATGCTTATGTTTATACGAATTTGAAGAGCACTTCAATTCTGTGAGAAACTGCGGCCCTTTTCTCTTTTGTGTGGAAAGATGTAAGTGGCTCGTTCCCTCACACTGAAATTACTGTAGGAGATGCCTAAAATTTGGGGTCGTAGCTGCAGAAGAAAGATAACTTTTCACTAGCCTAAGTCTTTCCATTCCCCAACCCTCTCCCTCAGCTCCTCAATCTCATATATATTCTCCCCTCTGCCTCTTAAATCAGCCAATGGCAATAGATTGCAAATCTTTGGATTCACCAATGAATTTAAGGGATAGATGCTTCCCATGCATGTGGGTTTAAAAACCCCTTTCTGGTAGTCTGTGTGCCTGCTTCCTCCTGTCTGGTGCACTGGTGCCCTTCTGCAGAAACAAATTTTACACTTTGCCTTGTTGAGTCCTTTTGCTTGCTGTCTGAGTGCATTCTTTTCCACACTGACAATTTGTGTATAGGGGCTCTATTTTAACTATTTGGATTATTTTGAAATTACAATTGTATTTGGATAGAATTGATGCCGTAGTAACAAGCTTGTTCAAGTCAAGCATATGGAATTTTCTAGTCTTTCATTTATTAAGGTCTTTTTCAATGCCTTTTAGCAATGTTTTTATATTCACTACTGAGATTTTACATAGTATTTGGTAAATTTGAATTATGTATTTAATGCTTTAAATATTTTAAATGCATTTTAGCTTTTCCACTACAGCACTATTGTTATAGAGAAATATATTTTGATTTTTGAATTTGCTATTTTGCAATAAGTATAAACTTACCAGTGAAGTGTTACAACAGTTCAAGGAAATCCTGTGTATCTTTGTAGACATTTTATCCTTTTATCCATTTACCATTTACGCTCTTTCTCATTTGTTTTACTATTGTCACTTTTTCCTGTTTCTAAATCATTTGGGATGCTGGTAACATATTTCTTTTTAAAATACTAATCAATAGGAAATTAGATCTACATTATTTTCAAAAACAGCTAGACAGCAAGTTGGACTCATTATATACTTAACCCCCTAACACTTTAGCAAGCATTTTTCCATTTAAATTACAGCCAACAAAATAACCACAATAAAATGATTATAATTGAGAAAGTGAATACAAAATTGGAGTTGTATACTGGCCTTACAAATAATGATTTTTTAATATGGGTTATTGTAAAATTTTTTATCCTTTCTTTACCCAATATGTATCACCTACAAATAAAGACAGTTTCACTTCCTTTTAAGACATCACTTCCTTTGAAGATATCATTTATTTCTTAGTAACCTACTCTGATCAAGGCTTTTTGTTTGTATAAGAGTATTAAGAATGGATCCCTTACCTTTCTGATCTTAAGGAGAATGAGATCAATGTTTCCCTATTGAGTGTGTGAATGTTTTTGGATATCCCTTTTTAGAGTGGAAGTTTTTTTTTTTTGTTGTTTTTTTTTTTTCCCCTTCTCATTTACATTGAAACTTGTAAGTATTGAATTTTAACTGCTTTTCTTTTATTTACTGAAATAGTTAATTTTTTTATCATACAGTAGTTAATATTACTTGATTTTCAATACTAAACCAACTATAACTTACTTGGATAATATCCATTTATTCATGATCTACAGCCTTCTATTTATGGTTCTAGAATTGGATGTTAATAAGGTAAATGAATGTTTTGCTTTTGTTTTTATTTTTTGTTATTTTTGTTCTTGAGAAGTAACAGCCTAAAACCTTCTCTATTTCAATGTCCTTGCCTAGTTTTGGTATTCACACTATCTTTTCCTTATAAAAATAAACTGATAAGCATTCTGTCTTTTCTACTTTCTGAAACAAGTAAGAATGGAATCCTTTAGTCCTTGCACTAATGGTATTGGTTGTTGCCCCCTAAAATCATCTTAAAATTTAACTTCCAATATAATAGCTGTAAGAGGTGGAAGATTTAAGATATAGTTAGGCCAAGAAGTCTTCACCTTTATGAACAGATTAGTATCTTTATTGTAGGAGTAAGTTATTAAAAAAAAAAAAAAAAGAGGATTCGGCTCCATTTTATCTCCTTTGTGACTACCTTTGTCCTTTTGCTAAAGGACTATACAGCAAGGCGGCTCTCACTAGTTATAAGCCACTCAATTTTGGACTTTTTAGCCTCCAGAACTATGATCCTTGATATCTCTATTCATTACAAACAATGCAATCTGTGGTACACTGTTGGACTATGACAAAACCGATCAAGAAAGGAAAGAGTATTTGATAAAAGACCTGATGCTGGCAGCAAGATTTCTAGGTATGAATTAGGATTCTTTAATTGGAGATTCAGGATAAAGCTCAGTGGGGAAGGTTTTGCTTTGCATAAGGGAGACTTCTGGTGAATCCACAGTTCCACTAAAACAAAAACACAGCAAAGAAAAAAATCACTTGGCCATAAAATTCTTCAAATAGTCTTCCTCTTTATATAGCCACTCTAGTAATTTACATCTTTTAATTACTTTTTTCCTTTTTTTTAGGATCTGGAAATCAAGACCTTACAAATGTTAAGAAAATGCTCCACCCCTGAGCAGTATCTGCAACCTTCAAATTTTTTTAACGTTGTCATAATATTTGATTTGTAACAACTTAAATATAAAATATCTAGGTATTTTTTTCTTGACCTTTATGCTGTTTTGGAATTGTGTACTCCCTGGATATATAAATTAATAATTTTCCTATAACTTTGGAAAGTGAAACTCATTATTTCTTAATTTTTCTGGATCAATTTGAATTTTAATTCATATTGTTATATATGTAATGGTGTCTTTATTCATTTTGTCAGATATTTATCCAGGACTTTAGTTTTGTTTTGTTTTAATGTCTCATATACTTCAGCTCCTAGTTCTATTTCTCTGTTTTTAATTTTTACATTTACCTACTAAAATTTCTTAACCATTTAGCTATTAGACTGTTCTTTGATTTGTTAATTATTTTTCTCATAGGTTTTTTAGATTTATGTTCATTAATTTCAAATCATTATTTTGGAGACCTTCTCATAATGAACTAACTTTGAGGCAGGCAAATGGGTTGTACTTCCTATTTCTCTACATATAAACTACATTTTGATTGTGTGATCGGTATAAATGTCATAGGGTTAAGTGTAATCATTTTGCTTTAAAAAGTAAACTGTTCTGATAGAGAGTTAATTTACAAGGAGATGAACTTGATACCTTCAAAGTATCATTTAAAAAGTTTATTAAAACTCTCTAACTCACTTTTTGTACTTGGTTGAATGCTTGCAAGTTCCAGTGAGAGATGTCTCTAATTTTGCTGTAGACTTTCAATGTTTCCAAGCCTGTGCAGCCTCAGTCCCTTCCTCTGCCTCAGATTCATTTATTCTTTGTTTTCTGAATAAATAATATGAAGGTGTGCTATGCACACGCGTAGCTAAGCACTGAGCAAGTACTGGGATCGCAGGTTGGTGCAGTTTTTGTATAGCAATTCCAACTTCTGTAGCTCCTGTTGGTGCACCCCATCATTAGAAGCAGTTCAAGCATTGTTGTTGATTCTCACTGCTTAAAATAAGTGAGAACATTATGCTGTGCTTGGTTCCATCTCCTTGACTGTGGTTCAAATGGATTTCAGCAGGAGGCTGGGACTGTACTTTAATGCTAAATCTCCTGCCTACCATTTCCTGTTCCTAGTACTGTTCCATATCTGAAAACAGTTGTTTTATACATGTTTTTACTTTTATAATTGTTCAACACAGAAAGGCTCGTCTGGTAGTATTTTTCCATTTTTTGCAGAGCCAAATTTTGGAAATTTAGTTGATAAATAATACAAGAATCCTTTACCCAGTCACCAACAAAATATGATAGTTTAAACTGAGTGCCCATTTCCTCTACCAAGAATCTTAAAAATGATGTTTGTTGAACTTACTGTAGAGATTATAAAAAACGAAATTTAGAAAGTGGAATATAATCCATTTTCAAAATAGCATTTTAGGAACTATTTTTGGTTTATTTTTTACTTTATTGAAGGACAGAAACACTTGTAAGAGCAATCTGAACTACAGAAAAAAAGGTGTATTTAAAGAATATAGGCAAGATGTTTCTTATAACCACAAGTTCATCGGGAGAAATCTCATATTTGTTCCTGCTCACTTCCAAGTATGGAAGCTTTGTGCATTTAAGTGTATACTTCTAACATGCTGAATCTTTTCCCATCACCTTTTGAAGTTAAATAGTAATGGCTTTACAGGAATGATTTCCTGGTTTTGATGTGTAAAAAATAAAAGAAAAGCAAATTGTACTCACTCTACTACAAGCACCAGTTGTGGTCTCACACACAGTAAGGATGGAGATATTTTGGGGCCGGTTTAACCATCTCACCACGGTCTTGGTATTGCTCACCCACTTAACCATCGTGATATAATATTCTCTGGTTTGGAAAAAAGGTTAAAATTTATCTTTAGAGCCTGAAAATCTGCAAAGTACCAATAATAGACATGTGTTAATTTATAAACAAGAATATCTGAAACAATATAAGACTTCTATATCATATCAACTTCTATTTATATAGATGTATAAAATATCTATACATATACATGATGTGTAACTACAGAAGTATATAGAAAATTTAAGAATAAGTGGATTGCCAAAAAATAGATTCTTGGAAAAATAAAAAAAATTCAATTACTAGAATTTTATGAAATATGATCATTTATTAATACTAATATATATTCAAAACAGTTATAAAGTTTTAAACTATGCTATATTTTATTTCTTTATAAATATAAGCAGTAGTTAATTAAAAGGCAAACCTTAGTCTTCGCTTAATAATTATTCTTTATGCAAGACCTTCAAGTTCTTCTGTTTCATAACTGAGAACTTCTACTGTTAAGTAAATGAATGTTTTTTGGTCTTTCTTCATTGTGGACCAAGAGCCAGCCAAATCTGCTGTTCACAATGTGTATTTTCCCTAATGTTGTTAGCTATACTGCTTGAACTAATTTATGACAAAAGAGAATTCAAATTAAGGAAGTTAATGAATTTTTAAATTTTCACTGTAGGAAGGATGCTAAATGAGGGGATCTCAAATGTCCCCAAGTTGGGTGGAATTGGAAAAATGTACATATTTTCCTTTATGGCATATTTTAGTTTCTATGTTTGGAAACTGACATAATATGATCATGAAGTTCCCAACACACACACAGTAAAATAAGATTATCAATAGTGATTCATTTTATTATAGAAATACATACATGTGTAAATTTTCTAAAAGCTGTCCCAGTTTCAGAACAGATGTATTATATTAGAAATGACAACTTGGAATGTTCTACCCATAAACGTTATATTAAAACTAATCAACCCAGTTTTTATATTACTTAGAAAAATAATCTATAGAAGAAAAATTAGGCGATACAAATCTTAGACACATCTGGGCTAGATGGTGAGCTACACGAATCTTATATTCCTAACATTAGTACTGCTCCCTTTAGAAAATTTGTTAGCCCAGCACAGGGAACATGTAAATGGAGGAGTAAATGTAACTTGCCGTATTCTAAGGGCTAATACAGTTTTCCTCAGCAATCTTTAAAGGCATCTGGCAGCTTTCACGTAGCTAGTCCTTGTTGGAGACCATTATGAAGCTCTGAGCAGGATTTAAGTTTTACTAATTGGCTTTCTATGTTTATCTGTGAGTCTGTCCTAGGCCTTGGCCCCTTGCCTGGTGATGGGAGCTGATTCATAGAAAGAGACCCTCTGGTCCTGGCTGAGGCCTGTAATGGCCTGTGAGGCCAGAAATACTTCAAAGGGCAAGATAAGGCCACAGCTGAAGACACCTTGACTCCAACACTAATTAAGTAAATAAAGACTGCAGCTGAAGGAATTTCACTCTTGAGGTCTCCATCCTACCATAAATGTTATCTTGGAGATAAGATGGTTCTCCTACATTTTCTACTAGGAGAAGTCTTCGAAATGGTCCCCCAAGGTCCTGCTTATTTCCCACACTTTCCTCAGTTTCCCCGCCTTCTGCCTTAGTCCTCCGAGTCTTGAGCTTAACTATAGTCCTAATGATACATACTGCTCTTTGATTAAATATTATACTTATTTTGGGTTTGTAGTAATCTCCCTTATATTAATAAACAGAACTTAATTTTATATGTGACACATAAATATGTACCACGTGTATACCAAGAATGACTTTGCATGTAATCACAATCTGAGAAATGAGCCTTCTTTCCAAATTTGAATTTATAAATTTTTGCAAGGAGTAATTTCTAAGCATGGAAATATCTATAGCTGACTATTGGAAGTTAACAAAATGGAAACTAAAGTACACTTGCAAAAAGGTAGACTGGAAAGGTATATATCTAATGAAATCATTAGCTGTGTTCCTTTGTTCCTTGCCACAGATCTAATAGTGCTCTTTCCCCACACTCTGGCCTGAGTATTATAAGTGTGGCTTGCTTCCTACAACTCCACTTCTGGAGCATATTAGATCAGCTGTTCCACAAGCAGCGGCCATTTCTTATAACTGGCTTTCCTGCTTGTTTCTATTTTCAGTGACTCTGCTTTAACCAAGAAGTCCTCAAGGATCTGGACTCTTGAACCACCACAGAAGCAAGCAAGGTAAAGGGATTTTACTCAGGTTTACAGACTTCTCATCAGCTGAGTGATCTCACTTAAGAGATCTGAATGTTCACAAGGATACGTGGAATGTAGAACTCAGCTTCTCCTGCAGACATACCTGCAGGTACTGTAGCAGTCTGCCCCTGTGTTTTCACTGGTTCTCTGTTTAATCACAATTCTGTGTATACAATATGGTTACTCTGAGGTCATTCTCTTTAAGATAGCCAAGAAACACAGCTCATAAGTTTACTCTAATGAAACTGATGACTAACTTCCAGCTGATGTCCTCCAAGGATCCACTGATAATGCATTATTTCAAGAAAGATCATTTAAGATAAACTCATGAGCACTGATGAATCTATTAATTGTAAATTTATGAAAAACACAGGTATTCCTTGGAAGAATAAAAGATGTAGGCTAGATCCACTTCGAGGAAGTATGTAGAGAAAATAACATTATCAAGCTCAAAATAACAGGAGCAATATAACAGTGTCTCACATTGATGATACAGGTGAAGAACAAGGGATCACAAAAAAGTAAGTGACTAGAGAGGATGTAAAATAACTAAAACATGGTAGTGATACACAAGACTACATTTGCTCTTCAGATTGAAGAGATGTGAACACAGGGAGATATAACACTTACTGGCAAAGAATGTGATAGTACTATAGTCTATGGTGAAATTTTGCACGATTCATTACCATAATAACATCCTTTTGCTAGAAATTAACTACGTATTTTAAATTCATTTCAAAAGTTTCAAATAAAGAAGCTGAATAATCTCAAGCTTTAAGTTCATAGTGCAACAATTAGCAAAGTTTGTCCGCCTTTCAAGATGAGATGACCAATTTGACTAACTCCCCCACAGTTTCTGAGTCTGGGGACACATAAGAATGCCTGTATCTTAGGTGTCACCATATTATAGTCTTTTCTGAATCCATGTAAACCAAGATTCAAAGGAAGATGAACTGAATGACGAACTGCATTGCTACTAAAGAAGGTCTGCATTCACAGTCTAATTTTGCATGATAATGTGTCTAGCTGAATTATGCACATACCAATTAAATATTATTATATGAAATGAAGGGGCAACATGGAAGTAGAAATTAGGAAAACAAATTATGACTTCCTTCAGCTTATGTTAACTTGTAGTTTCTTTTCCAAAACCATATCAACTAATTAATAGCTATTTCCATACAGCCTTTGATTAGAGCATAAATATCTGGATGAATAGATTGTCCATCAAATGATGCTAGCTCCAACATTTTTCTTGTTATAATTATATATACTAGTTGTTATAATTCAACCAGCTTTCAAAATAAACAATCAAACATACCAAAACATTAACCTAATATTAACAATTAAAAATGAATTTTCTTCTCTGTGCTATATAGTGGGGGAATACAGTTTACAAGATAAATTAAGTTATAAGAGAATGTCTTTCTATGTTTATATTATTCTTTCTCCATATGAAGGCATAACCATGTATAGCCAAATGTTTTCTGTCACTACAGTGATTTTATTAGAGTGAAGATGATAAGAGGTAATTGATCGGATTCCAAATGATAGGATTATTTCCAAAAGATGTAAAGTATAAAACAAAAGAGGCCTTTATTCTGAGAACAGGGAGAGAGATAACTGACACCCCCAGCCGCTTTGTCCCTCCACCCTTGGGAATCTGCCCCTGGCACCAAACGTGTGCCAAAGAAATACCTGTGCATCCCTAATGCCCCCTTAGGTCCCACCCCAAGCGGAGGCTACTTATGTGCCTCACTCCAGGTGTTCCATGGAGAGATCACCAACCCTGGGGTGGAGATGCCGCGCCCCTAGGGGGGCTCAGGGGTGTCTCTCCCTGTATTCTCAAAATAAAGCCACTGCCGGTCCCCCCCAGTCCTATCAGTAATCATACTTGAGTTTCAAGTGTGTTGGAAAAATTGAATTAAACATGATTATTTATCACTACACAGAGTAAAGCAAAATAGTTCACCTAGTAATTATATAGATAATTTGAAGATTATAAAAATATAGTAGCTGTTTAGGTAATATAAAATGCATATAAATTATTAATTATTTAGCTATGTTATTGCTTAATAACTATTACTATCAAAATTGATACAGGTGACTCTGTTATGAACACTTACAAATTTTAAGAAGCAGAAAAATCTTTCAGTGAATTCGATAGAATGCTGAGAAAATGTATTACTAGTAAATTTATATATATATATATATATATATATATATATATATATGCTTAACAAAATCAAACCATTACTACTATTAGAGAATAACATTCATATTATAAGAGGAATCCAAATTGCAAAGATTTAAAAGTAAAGCTGAAACCTAGAACTTACTAAATCAAGACCATGGGACTCTGACACTGAGAGAGGTACTGTGAATTGCCCCAAGGTGACACAGTGAAATGCTGGTGAACATGTGACTCAGACCAGACTATTACCTAGGCAGAACTGGTGGGAGTTCATAAAACCCAAGAGAACATGTGCAGATCATAGGCCCCCAAATAACTACACGGCTCTTAAGCACTGCATAGGAACCAGTCAGAAAGCAGTGTTTTCATCCTTCATTTAAATTTCTCATTGTCTGTAAGACTATTAGAAAAGTGATATTTTTGGTTCTTCATTTACTGTGGGCCTGAAGCTAAGTGAATCTTTTGATGAGGCAGTTTAAATCTGATGCCAGACTAAGTGAGTTCTTGATAAAACAATTGTCCAAATGCCTTATTTGCATGAGAAAGAAACCTGTCTAGGAAGCTGGTATACAAAAGATCCCTTTGCTGTGTCACTGGGGCCAGTGTGAGGCTGCTTCCCAGTCTGCTCTCACCCTGTAGAGCATACCTCTGTTGAACCTTCAATGTACATTCTCCTTGTTTTGTCTGTAAGTCTTGTTCAATTCTTGGTTCAGTACCGTCATCAACCTGGAAAGAATTTCCACGGGACCTACCATCAGGTAACACTGGGGATGGGACTTTTAGTGTAAAACCTCCTTAGCAATTTTGTTGTTGTTTGTTTTGTTTTGTCTTTTTCCATGCTCATCAGAATATACTAATCTATAAAAATTCCCAACTGAGAGACAATTTTTCCTAAATATGTCAACATTTGAGTGAAATTTCTAGTAGAAATTGATTAAAGACACTATTAAAATGAACTTTGAGCTTGGCATATTAGTATGTTTCCATACAGTCTGAAACCATTTTTCTAAATCAGATGCCTATCCTATCTCCAGGACTGTGGTAAATTTCGAGAGGGCTAAAACTTTGAAAGAAATCTACTTTGAAGTTTGAGAATATCCAGGGTTTCAAAATATATATGATTACTTGTTTATTTGGCACTACTGAAGATTTTGCTAATATTAAATTTATGTGCCTGACACATAAAATGTGTTTCTTTTTCTCTCTTCTTAAATAGAAAGGCTTCTGATGTAGAGAAATATGAAATAAAATCTCATTAAATTTGTCTGCCTGAAGAAAAGAATATTTGGCAAGCTCTGGGTAGAAAGTTGGAAAACTACACACATTTTAGGGAGATTATAAGATTTTAAAGTGCATCATAAAAAAATAAAAATGGAGCAACTATTTTCTGGAAGAAAATCCAATGGAAAATTTTCCTTTGTCCTCATCTGTCACACATCTCCAGCAAAAGACCCAGTTCTCAGTATCTTATCTTTAGTCACTTGATGGTACTGCTGATCACTTTGAAACTAAATGCATCTTAAAAACAGCCAGATGCCCAGAATGACTTCATTCCTCACTAATGGAGGCAACCTCAGTTTTATCTTTAAACAGAATTGTTGAGCTTATCACATCTCTCATTAAATTGTAACAAAATATAATTGGACTGAAAATATCTATTTCCATGCAAAAGTGAAATTGAAGTTGCCTACCTTGATTTAAAGCTGTCGGGTGGCATGAGTTCCAAAGTATGAGTTGGTCCATAGAGGTTTACAACATATAATTTTATTGTTGGGTTCACTTGACCTGCCTTTGAGAAAATGAAAGTTGTAAAACAAAGTGCGTTAAGCATTAGACTATATTGAGGTAAAAAAGAAAAGATATTTTGACTCATTTACTTTTTTGTGTTACACAGGGGAAAAGTTTAATTTCTCTAAAGTCAAAATGATTTTAAATTCAACGACTTGATTGCTTTCAATTGTTTTTGCAGATTGCTGCTTTTCAAGCAGTTTAGTTAGACAATTAAAGGTGATAGAAAATCGTGATGGCTTTATTTGCTAGGCAGTGCTATGCCATGCTTTCCCTAGAATGTCACTAGAAGGGCTAGCTGTTCAACACAACTAATTGGTAGCTCAAACAACTACTAGCTTATGAACAGCATAAGAAGACTTGACTTATTACAAAAGAAAGAAACGGAGGGAAGGAGAGAGGAGCACATCCTTTCCACTTGTAGGTCTGTAGAAATTCCACCAATCACAGACTGTCAGATGTTTAAAATCCTGCAAAACCTGGTGCAGTATAATGACCAAATCTACCTGTTTTTTGTTTTGTTTTTTTTTTTCAATTTTACTGTTAACTAAAATGGGGTGACTTGTTTGTTGAACTGATCTCAGACCACTGAGCAAACTCCTCTCCCTAATGCCTGGTATGAAGAGTAGACAGTCAGAGCAATGCTATGTAATTTGATTTGACTAACTCAAATTTTATTAAATAAAGAGTAACTAGCAAGGATAGCATAAATTGTGTTTTTGGCACACAGTATTGTGACAAGTACATGAATTTCCTTACAAAACAGCCGTTCTGTGAGTGTCACTTAAAACCACTTTATAGATGAAAATAGAGAACTTAAAAAATGGAACAAGGTAAAATTCTAATAACTCAGGAAGCCAGCATTTTAATCTAGGAGCTTTTTAACTGTGTTTTCAGTTCATTGACTCAAAAACGGTGGCTTCCAAAATTTTTCTAAATACATACTAAGCAATAAAAAGATAAATATGGGAACTTTCTTCAACTTGTCTTAAGCATTTTGAATGAAGAAATACATGAAGGAAGGAAGGAAGGAAGGAAGGAAGGAAGGAAGGAAGGAAGGAAGGAAGGAAGGAAGGAAGGGAGCAAGCGAAGAATTAAGGATTATTTATTGAATGTGAGGTATCAAATTAGCTAACTACTTGTGGCCCAGTGGGTTTCTAAAATATCGTTTCCTTTGTGGCAAGGCTGAGCATTTAAGCAAGCCTTACCACTGAAATACACAAAGGAGAAAAAGGAAATTAAAAGTAAGTCAAGTTAAAAATCCAAAGAGAATCAAAAAACAGAGTGAACGATGTGGCACAGAGTCATGTTTCAGGAATTGCTAATAGCAAAATCAAGTCAGGATCAGAATTAACATAATATGCTACATTCACAACTAGTAAGCAGTCCTTAAGAACTATTTTGTTAAAGATAAATAAATAAAAGAATAACTAAAGAGACTAGTGTATCTATGGGAGTCTGCCACACACACATCTGAAATTTGAGACAAATGGGTCCGGAAAAGTTTTCACTATAGGAATGTGGTTAATATAAAGAAAAATGAAGGGTTGACTCATATAGTGATAGGGTTCCTGGAAGAAGAGTTATGAGCTTGCTTCCAACTGAACACTGTACTATCAGATTTTGCAAACTTGTCACTTGCCTAAACTCTTGTAGGCCTGGGCACATTGGTCTTGTAAACTTTGACCTCCAATAACTTCTTATTTTATTTTACTTTATTTTGTACCAGAAACTCTTCTTATTCTTCTGAGTTGCCTTTCACATCATTTTGGTTTTAATTTATTTGTCCTGTTCCTCCTTTGAAATATTAGCTTTACTCATTTAAGTTTTAGTTCAACCATGTCTCTAGTTAGGTTGAGTGTGTTAACACATAAAGATGGACATAGTATTTAACATTATCATTCAAAGTAGTCTTGGACCAGACACAGTAATCAGTATCACCAGCAACCTTAGAAACACAAATTCATTAGCCTACCTACCTGTTGTCAGACCCAGAATCAGGGTGTGAGGCTGAGTGTAGGTCAACAGATCTGTGTTTTTACAAGATTTCCTTATATTCTTAGGCAAATGAATATCCCATCTATCAATTCTAGTACTGTAAATACTATGTCAGAAATCAGCAGATGAATATCCATCTATCAATTCTAGTACTATAAATACTATGTCAGAAGTCAGCCTTGCTGACCCATTTGTCTCAAATTTCAGATGTGTTTGGCAGACTCCCACAGATATGCTAGTCTCTTTAGTTATTCTTTTATTTATTTATTTATTTATTTATTTTTAAACACAACAATTCTTAAGGAGTTCTTACTAATTGTGAATGTAGCAAATTATGTTAGTTCTGGTCAGTCATCAGATCTTGAGAGCTTGTTAATCACAGATCATTGAAGGCCACAGTCTACATGAACCAGAAATACCTGATGCTGGTGGAAGGACCACCTTTTGAGCACCAGCTGAGCTTTGACTGGCAGAGATACCTAAATCTAAATATTGACCCTGTTATTTGTTTGTTATGGGCCATGGACAAGCACTTCAACTATTACTTGTTTATCAAAAACGAGATTAAAAAAAAACTTCTCTGAGACTGTCAGAGTTTGATGTTTTGAGTCAAATAAAGTTTCATTTCTGGAAAAAATATAGTTATATTAGCTAATGAAAATATTGTTACATAGTGTCTACAAGAGTATGATTATAAAAACTATAGTTATTGTTATAGCACTAATTCTCTTTAGTGAAAATATATGTTGTATTTTTTATTGTTTGATATTGTTAAACTGATTAATAAATTTAATAAGTTAAATAATTTAGTATTTAAATTTATTATTTATTATTAAATTTATTTAAATTAAATTTAATAAATTAAAATTTATTTTTTGTGAACTCATTAATGACACAGTTTTTGACACTCATACTTTCTCCGGATAAGTTAACTATTGTAACCTGAAGGCATTTTTGTTTTGCAGCAACACTGTCAGTTTATATCTAGGTAGGGTGACTGATAACTCATTTAGCTTCTGCATGAATTCTTAAAAGTTGAATATTTTAGACAGAAAATGAACACATCCATGCAAATATTTGACTGTCCCCAAAATTAAGCTGTTCAGAATTTCATAATCTCAGTTACATTTTAATTTTCTGCAGTTTTGAAATTAAGCACATACTGCAAGTTCATTTACATCTCTTAATATCTGAATCATTTTAACAGTTTGAAAATTAGAGGAGTTCATATAATTGCTTTTAATAGTCACATTTGCCACAAAGACTACAAATCCATAGAATTCCTCCTCTATGATTCTGAAACACAAGCCTCAATAATAATTAACCTTATTTAACTGGCATTTAAATTGTCTTTAAATAACATAATGCTTTAATTAAGAAGATTAACCTGAGGTTAGTGAGATACAACTGTGCTTTTCTTTTGTGCTGAATTGCTAATGATAGGATATTTTATGAGTTTTGAATCATGCTGAATTAAGTAAAAAACAAATGTATTTGTTTAGTGTAAGGGCTTCCTTAGTAAATCTGACCATATTGAGTACTCCCTGCACTAAGTTTAATCTAGTTTAATTTAAAGTACAATTTAGTATGAACTCTATGTGTTATTTCTATTTCTACAGTACCATTTTTTGAAAGATTATTGCCAATGAGCAAATTGAAACATTATATTTGTTGTGGGAAAACCTAATATTAAAAACTAAAGTAGAAACCTATAAATCTATAAATTAAGGTAACATACATGAAATGATATGAAGTTATTCTATAAGAAAATGGATCAAAACCAAGCGCTACTTTCTCTGGGTATCATTATCATTTGCATCTGGGCAGCTGTTCCATGTGAGAACTACCAGAAGACTGCAGTGTTTTCTGTTTTGTTTGGTAGAATTTCTGTTTCTATTTTATTTGTAAAACTCCTCACATATGTTCACTGCAGAGTCAGGATCTTCATCATGTTAAATTTGCATACACTGGGTATAAGACTGAGAATGCTACACATGTATAGCTAAGTCATTAAAAGGAAGTGCAACAAACACAGGTTCATAAATATTAGTTAATTTGACAAGGAAATGTTTTGGTTTCAGCTGCATTCTCTTAAGTACAAGATTATCTCTGATGAAATCAATAAATTTGGATTATTTTAGGATTCTAAAATGTCTCTTTTACAAAAAGAACATTTTAGGATGTCTGTTGGCCCATTTGTAAAGCATAGGAAATTATGACGAAGACCAAATGAGAATAAAAAGAATATAAAATCTCCCTGAATACAGTCTATGTTAAGCTATTGCAATTTATACAGTACACAGGAAAATATATTATTCTATTAAATATCTAATAAAATAACAAATTATTAAAAATAAATTAACCTCATTTGTACCCCAATTCCTCTGAATTATTGCTGAAATACTTCAGTTTTCTCGGATGTTCATATTTGTTCAATTGTTGGTGTCAACATAGCCAAAATTCTAAGGCCTGGGAGTGTTCCAAATCAAAACACCATAATGCAAAGGCAGTTGAAGTTGTAATCAATGCACATAGCTTTTCACGTGAATCACAAAGTGCTGGTTCCTTTTAAGAAAGGATTCATCTTTCATAGGGTGATTTTGTGCAGGGCACTGAAAAGTTAACACTAGGTTTCTACTTTGTACTTCTACTGGGAAATGAACATTCATCACAAAGAAAAGCGAATGATGTGAGGCAGTGTATTTGGCAAGTATTTATAGTTTTGATGTGGAAGTAAGAGGTACTGATATGTGCTGCTGGTACAAGGTATCACCCACCTAGTAACAGCTGAATTTGTAATTGGAGAAGTCACAAGATCATTTCTTGAAATTAATAAAAGTCTTCTGGAAAATATAATGATGTTGTAAGTTCAGATTGCCATTTTATACTGAAGAGTACTTAGTATATGTGCCTTAGAATTTATATCCAGAAAATACTTTAATTATAGTGCTTCAGAATCATGGAAAGTGATTCCTTTCAATGCCGCATTTAGCAGTACTGATCAACTACAGAAGGACAATGGGACGAAAGAATCAAGACCTTACAGAAGCTCATGGAGGAAACCACTTTTCTTATTCCTAATCCTCGATCCTCAAACTTTTCTAGGTGAAGCAAATACTCTCTTTTTCCTAATTAGGAGATAAAATGTGTAAAGTAGAATTTTAGAGGTTTTCTGTAAGAAATGTTTACATGATCAATGCGAAGGGCATCTTACTCTGGGCCTTTTCTTTGTTATATAAAGATACGTGAAATTGGGTTTTAAAAAGAGGCCTTGAGGAAGTGAAGATGCCTACAATAAAAACTGTCAGGGCACTCCCAATGTTCTTGGTTTGTGTTCCTAGAGGCCTCTTTTAATATAATACTTGCAAATAGTTGTGCTGTCTCAGCAAGATTTCTGTATATTCTCTCTAATAAAACCCTTTCATCTATCTTATCCACCAGCATTTCATTAACCGTGTTCCAGAGTATGCTCTGCCAAAATAATGCTGATAGTAGTGTTAATACTAATAATTCTTTAGGCTTAGTCTGTTCTTCCTTGGTAATTTTTATGCTTTGTCTATTCTTTATTGAGGTTTTTTATGCTTTGTCTATTCCTTATTGGAGATTCTTTATGCTTAGTCAATTTTATAGGAAATTTATAATACACATTAACATATAGTATATTAAGTGCTTTAAGAAGCCATGCAAAAGAAGTTAGATTTTTTTCTTAACTAAGAACTTCCAACTCTTTTGACCATTGTATTTTTCCTTCCTTTGTAATATTATCAACTTGTATGCAAGACTTGGAGCAACCTCTGCCTTAGCATCAGTTCTGTCCCTTGCACTTGTGACCTTCTTTTTAACTGGCAAGTTGAGAAAAAACAAGGAGGAACATAAGAGGGAAGGACATGTAACAAAAGAAAACTTTCCCATGCTCTTGAATCATCTCTCTACCTCTTTCTACCCAGCCCTGTGTCTGGACTTTTTAGTGCAAGCCCAAAATGATGTAAAGGAAACTTCTTTTCTCTTCCAGAGGCAACTGTACGTGAACCAGTCATGCCACCCATCACGTTGTCCGTGCAGTCAGAAAGAATGAACAAACACCTTCATGTTGCTTACCTTAGGATATGGATACTGCTTTGCTTTGGGATACAACGCTCCAGTAAAGCGAGGGACAACCATATTAGGCACCAAGGAATCATTTATCATCAGGAAGGCGAGCCTTTCTCCATCTGGTGACCACCAGTGGGCGATGTGAGAATGCAGAATTTCCTCTAGAATAAATAGTGTTATTTGAAACCAACTGTAGAGATGTGGGCTCAGTGACCCACAAACATCTGTCCTTGATATCTTCATTGCATATGTATATTTTCTGGGCAGCATGCTGGATTTTATAAATTTCCCTGAGAATCCTGTGTTTCCGAGTTGTCTTTTTAATTTATAGAAAACCAGATGAAAGGAAGGGTAGAATGAAATGGAAAATTGGGATGGCACACTATTTCAGCCATGAAACAGAGCATGTGAAACACTACTGAGTGAAAAGATAGAGAACAGTGATTGAAGAGTGAGATATTACTACACTCATATTACATTCATTCATATTTATAGTCAGTTACTTTCCATGTTCTCATCAGATAAACTGAGGACCCATTAAACTATTTTAAGCTCTAAGGAAATAGAATGAAACATATACTGGATATCTTTCATGTAACCTAAGATCCGGTATCTACTCTCCACACCTGCTTTCTGGTCCAGAAACTTAATGTGTGTGAACTACATCAAAAGGTCCCTTATCCCTTCTGGCTTGCAGAGGGCATCATAATTATAACGCTGTTGCAGAAGATTAGGAGGAGGGAGCAAGTCAGGCTGTTTATTCTTATAGTGTTCTCCAGCAAGGTGACCTCAGGCTGGCTATGCATTTTAATTGATGATTCTACTCCTCTCAGCGCAGTCTCTTCCACCATATTTTCTCTCTGTCTAGGAATGGCTCATCACCGTGTTCATGGACATGTTAAAATTAGGCTGGCTGCTACTAATGTAAGTTATAACACTTCCCTTGGTGGCCTCCCTGTGGCTTTAACTTTGCAAATGTTCTGTGAATAAATTATTTTCAAATTATCTTATTGAATATGCTAATTATTTCCTTTTGGGATCTTGATAGAAACAATAGTTAATACTAAGAGTTGACTCAGAAAACAGACTTTCAAAATTAGATTAGGAGTTTCACAGATAGATACATAAATCAGATGATATACATGCATATAGATAGGCATAACTTTTGCAGCAGGAAATTGGAGTACTCAGAGCAAGAGATACAGTTGTGTTTAATCAATGGTCACAGGTGGTAACATGAAGTGACAAGCAGTTAGATGGGAAAGATTTTGGAAGAACAAATATGTGTGGCACTTAGATGGTACAAGAACAATGATGACATTGTTAAAATTATGACATAGAGTTGACAATGGTTACTCTGACAAACTCAATTAAAAAAAGTGCATAGGAAAAAAAAAGACATTGACACTGTGATAGAAATCAGGAATGCATGTAAAGCACAAAAGGTCATCATAATATCTTTGGAAGATTCCTTCTTTTCTGGTTGTTGGAAAAGATAAAACTAAGGTGCAACAGTACAAGACAGTAGTTGAAGACTGTAGCACACATTAAGGTCTCAGCACTATTTATGCTTTTAAACACAATTAAAGATAATGAAGTATGATTGGGCACCTTACATATATGATAAAGATATTTGAGTAAAGAAAAAGAAAATGTTTATCCTACCTAGGCCACTCTCATTAGTAATAATTTTATAATTATAATTTGAAATTTCATAATTGATGAATGCTGCTATATGTAGCTGATTCTATAGCTAAAGATTTAATTAGTGTATATTATTAGGACAGAATAGTGAGACCTGTTTGGGAAATTTGCTACATGTATATACTATATCTTAATCATCTTCAGTCATATTACATCTTCTTCCCTTATATTTTAAGCCTCAAAATTCTCACAATTCTACTTGCTGATAGAGGCAAGCTTTATAGATAGGAGTTATATGTATCTCACACAAAGGCAGACAGTAGTGTCAAATTTCAGTGAACATATTTAGGAGTCTAATGAACTGGGTACGTTCATAGAAACTTGGTAGTCTGGAATACATTGAGATTTTTTTTCTACACTGAGAGAAAAATTTTTAAGAGTGTGCTTGTGTAAAAGTAGGATAAACTGGACACTGAATTTTGAAGACAACACAAACCACATTTGCAAGTGTTGCCTTGTTCTATTCCCGGGGTTAGTCATTGAACCTGAGCAATGGAGCCCTCCAAAATGGAGAGGTAGGTTATGGTGCCCCCTTCCCTACCTTCTGTATCTTGTTACCCAGCAAAGGTAACAAAGTCCATGACAGAGATCCCATGCAGAAGCTCTGGTGCTCCCATAAGATAGCAGCACAGACATTATAAGCTTTAGAAAAACCCCATGTCTCATGATAATATATACTATGTTTTTCAAAAGCAGTTCCTTACGGGGCTCTACTAGAAACAATTAGCTTGATTATGGTTTACAAGTGACTATGTAATCCAAACTGATCATTAAAAACTGGTCCTTAGCTGATCTACCAACTGTAAAAGTGAATATACACATCACCCCACTGTAAACTACATGCATGGGATTGTCCATAGTTTGCATATCTGTTTCATCCTCCTTACCACACATCTGTGCTCTGAGGTATGTTTTCCAACAGAAGCTGGTAGAGGAGAACTTAATGTCCCAGCTTTTGTTTAGGTCTTTCTTACAGAGGGGAACAATCTGGAATTAAATAGGATGTGTAATACAATCTGGCTTTAGAATGATATTATAAAACAATAGCAAATATAAATGTTCCAAGTTGGCAGAATTTTGAACAAAATATTTACTAGTCTCTCTCTCTCTCTCTCTCTCTCTCTCTCTCTCTCTCTCTCTCTCTGTCTCTCTCTCTCTCTCTCTCTTTCTCTCTCTCCAACCCCCACATCTCTCTTTTTGGTAGATTTCAATGTACACATGGTCCCTCTTATTCATGTTTCAAGTAATAAATGACCATTTGATCAGAGGGGTTGAGTAACTAAAAATTAGTGACAAGGGAACATAAGAAGTTAAACTTATCAGAGAGGTAAACATGAGAAAGCTTTAGTGACCTGTGTCATGTGCCACAGCTGAGATCGATGTCAATGATAGAATATACAAGATGACTACCAAGTTCTTGGTGACCTCTGGCTTGCACCCTTACCTGCTAATAATAGTAGCCCTTGCTGAGCCTTGGTTCCATATTGCTGCCCAGTGTACCAGATGACTGACTACCTGTGGAAGTTCAATGATATGGAAACCCTTCCATCAGAAAGGGGTGCCATTTATGTCAAAGAGAAACTCATATCCTGGGAGTGTGTATGGTTTTGCTGCCTACATTCTGGTCAGCATGGCAATACATGAGCTTATCAAAAAATGTATGTGGTAACCTATAGTACATACTGCAACATCTCCAAATAGGAAAAAGGTTATGAGAAAAAAAGGGCCAAGGGACTCCTCACTGTGGGAGTTTAGTACTCTCATTATGGTGCAATTGTTTTTATGTCCTTCACTGATGGGATTGAAGTAGTCATCTTTGTATGTTTTGGTATTCTTGTTTGACAACAACACTGAAGTCCTATAGCACATCACATGTCCTTCCTGTGTAGGCAAAAGGAACATTTCTAAGAAGTAAGAGTGGAAAATGATAATGTTCTTCCTCACTATGACCAATGACTCACTGGATAATATATTCTGCTTCCTGTTCTAAAAATATTGTCAGTTTAGGAGTCCCATATTTTGTGAATGATTAATGCTTCCAATAAGAACGTAGATATAATTCCATTCCTTTGAATTGGAAGACTAAATGTCTTCCCTTAGCACTTTAGCATCCTTCTGACTAAGAAAACAAAGCATAAAATAAACCCCTCCCCACAAAGTCCTAACAGAAAGGAGTGCTCATGTTAGATATGGTAATACATCTCATCTATGAGAAATAAAATGTGTCTTTCCTATACAAGAGAATTTGAGAGAAATGCAAAGTATTCACAAACAGTTCTTTGCTCAAGAGCACTGACTAATAGATAACTGAAGTTTTGGCAATCCAATAAGAAAATGATGCCTTGAAATAAAATTTGAACGAAAGGAAGTTTTGGTTTGACCTAGCATTTAATATGTTTACTTAACATGATGAAAAAAGTAAGAGAAAGAGACATGGGTAGTTGAAGAAGGCAGTCTTGATTATCATTTAGGCTAAATGAAAAGCTAATGTTTAGGTGGAAGCATTTTCTCTATCGCCTAAGACAAAAAAACAGAAGTGGTGGCAATATTCATGAAGTTCAAATCCATAACTGTATTTACATTATCCTGCAATGAAACAGTAGCTGATGGGACTTAGCTTACTTTTCTTCTGGGAACATAAACTTTTAATTTGAATAATAGAAATTTTCCAATGGTGTCTGTTATTTCATTTTGTTGTTTTGTTTTTATTTCTCATGTGGCCAATATGTAACCCAGGTAAATCAAATGACGGGAGGATTGCGTGGGTGGAATTTATTTTCTTGATGTCTGCTCCCTGAAATCATGTGTCTGGCTGTATTCCTCATCAAAACTTGTTTTCTATTACTGTGAAAAAAAATCTATGGGAGTCCCTTGTTATAGATTGTGATAACTTCTGTCTCCTCTCCCCACTTCAGGTATTAATGCCTAAAGAGGTTTTAATCAAAGGTTGTCACTTATTTCTCCTTCTGAAGAAAGGGGGAGTTCCCCAAAGGTCCCTAGGAAACAAACTTGTCCCAGAGCAGTGACACTGAGAGGTGGTGGAATCTTTGAAGGGTAGTGCCTAATGGAAGTCCTTCAGGTGTGAAAAGTATGTCCTAATAACGGACTGTAGAATCTCAGTTTCTGGGTCTTTCTGTGCTTTCTGCCTTGTGATACAAAGTAGTTTACTCCTCCACACACACACATATGATGGGGTGCCATCATCGTAAGTACAATGAGGCTGTGTGAACTTGAAATGGAACTTCCAGAACTAGGAGCCAAATATCATACATTCACTCTTTAAAAATTATTATCTAAAGTATTTGTTGAAGTAACAAAAAGCTTGTGTAGTAACACAATTTCTTTGACTTATTCTCTTTTGAATGTATTGTGTTTTTCTTTTTTTTTTCCAGTTCTAAATTTGTATAAATAACTTAGAATTTACTTGGAGACATGAGTCATACACCAGACATACTGAGAAAAAAATGCTTATGACAAGAGCCAATTTAGTACAAATTCTATGAAAATTAAGGTATGAAGACATCCTAGTGGCTTAACTCAACACTCTTGACTTCTAATGTTACTTCCACCAGATGCATCAAAGTATGTGTGCTCCATACTTCTCTCAACCAAGCATAGCACAAACTCATGGCCACTGTGCAGCAGGAATTAAATATCACCAACTTGCCTTACTTTTGAGTGATTGATGTCTAATTATCTTCTCCAGAGAAATGCTATGGTACCAAAACAATGGGTCAGTCAGATTCCTTCAGATACAAGAATAAAACTAACTGGAAAGAAGAGGTAAGTAAAAGAATCTTTTACATGCATTTGCTTAGCAGTTATCCTGGATAAGGCACAAGCTTCTTTAATTGCAATCAAGAGGAATAATTACTCAAAATTTGAAACTTCCTATGCTAATTGTATTCTTTAACAAACTATTTTTTAAAATTACATTGCATGTCAATTTAATGTAGGTTTGCCTCTTAATCATTTTTATTGCTCCAATTTAGAAAATCCCACTGCACAGCAGATGGAGTTTTTAACACATGTTGGTTTTATATCACAGAGGCTTAAAACATAGCCTCAATGTGAAGCATTTTCAGAAAACTCAGTATAATCACTGTGCTTAGCTTCACATTCTATACTGAAAACTAAGATGATTTCATACAGTTAGAGTTTTTCAATTTAGATAGAATTTCCTGTGAGTGCTACCTCCATCTCTGTGGATTTATTGCTGACTCTCCATTTCCTCTTATTTTCTACTTTTCACTGCCAACTTTCTAGTTACAATTACCTATATTCATAACCATTTCACTCTCCCTCTCCCACTGTCATCCATGGAAGTCTTTCTGTCTCTACCAACTGACTGCTTTTGTTTCTGTCAAGGGCACCAAGATCTAGTAGTAAATCCAATGGTAACTCTGAAAGTTTTAGCTTGTGACCTCCAAGACTTCGCAGCACGGACAACCCTGGGTTTGCCTGGCTGCCGTGGCTGCGTTTCTATGCTTGCATCTGCTCTGGTACAATCCAGTGTCACTGGCAATGTCCATTAAGGATATGTTATATTAATAAAGAATAAATACAACTTCACATGGCCAAGAAGGCAGAAAATAAAGTGAAAAGTAGTTTGCATTGTTTCCATTAAATGTAAAACTTGCAACTATGGCAATTTGTCAATAGGGGTGCTGTTTATCCTATAAAGTTTTTCTTAATTCTTTATTATAGATATTAGGATCAATAAAAAGATCATTTTTTCTATGATATAACCCAGATTCCTCTATCACATCAGATTTAGTTTTTGTTGCCATGAGATCTCTTTACACTTCTATTTAGTATTTCTGGGGGTTTGTCATACAATGAATGTTTACAGTGTTACCACTGGAAGAAGTTCAAACAGAGAAATTCTTCAAACATATTCCTCCTTATGTTCCTCTTAGATAATAGCTGACAGATATATGTGCTCATAAATTGTGAAATAGATTTTTAAAATATGTCCCTTTAAAATTTGGGAATTAAAAATATTTGTAAGTCATTCAAGTGTATCAGTCTCATTATTTTATATGACCAAATAATTAAAAGCAGCAGTACTTTCTTCTCTATTCAATAGATTAAACACTAAATGGAAATTTTCAAATTTCCATAATTTATCAATTATATATAATTTATTTTTAATATTTTTTAAAAAAATTACACTTTTATGAGGTAACTTATTTAGTTGTTACTATATCTAGCATAGAGATTTGAGCAAATAAATACAATTATATTACAATTGTGCAAAATCATATGATTACCTTGTGTTAATACAGTATTTACAATGATCTTATATCTAGAGAATTTTATTGTTTCTCTGGACTTCATTAATACTCTAAAATACACTATAATTTATATGTTTTTATTTTCCTTAAGAACTGGGTAATAACACAATCAGAGAAAAAGAAGCTCTAAAGACTCTTACAGACTCTGGATTAGTGTCACAGTTGAAAGCACTGCCACGCTCACAAATTGACCAGGTTCTAAGAAGATTATGCCACATCCTTCAAATGTGTCACTGAAGCATCTTATTATTCTTAGTGACTCCACTCACCCTTCCATCCCTACCCCACTGGCATTTATAAGAAGCAAATATCAATTTTTTTTTAAAAAAGTAGAAATGTTTCATGTTAGTTCCTGAGTCTTCCATATGTTGTTTTGATTATAACTGATTTCTGTGAAGTAATAAAAGAGAGATCTCCACCCCAGGCCGGCACCCTCAGGACACTGATAATCACTGGGATCCTCCAGGACAGTGGTGGGGAACTTAGCACACCAGTGCGGGAGCAGCCTCTTTGTTATCATTAGGAGCCCTACGAGGTTCACCCTCAAGGCTCTAGGTGTGTTACTGTGCTGAGCAATATGCTGAGAATAAAAGAAGGATCTGGTGCTAGGCAGTTGTCAGCACATGGACAACAAAGTGATCACAGGAAGCTAAGGTACATGAGGTATTTGAAACATGGATTGAGCTTGGCAGGCAGGGTGTTGAGGGAAAAATCAGTGGAAAATGAATTGGTTAGGTGCCTCTGCCAAAGCTTAACAATTATTTCCTTGAGTAGGACACTCTCTGAACACGAAGTAAGAACTTGAGTCCATGAACAGTAGTAAACAGAGCCTTTGGTTGAAGAATGATGGTTTAGGGCCCAAAATACGTGCTGTATCTTATGGAACAATGAGAACCATCCACTGCAGCAGATAGAGTACCTGGCACCTAATTGCTGTCCTTGGGAACACCAAACACATACTCAAATGCCAACCTTGCACTGCATTGTTTCTTAGAACATGTCCAAATCACTCATTGTCCCTGACATTCGGTTCCTTGAATAAATGCCATGGCAGGTTTAAATACCATACATCGATGGAATTCCCTTGTATACCTGGAACATAAAAGCCCAGTGTATTGGGTTTAGTCTGAATAACAAAAATTTAATTTTTCCATTTCTCTGTGAAATCTGTTAAATTTTCAGGCTTACTCGCAGAAGTTTTCTTCATGTGGTTTTTCCTTCTCTCTAACCCAAATCCAACACATTGTTCACTGTCAGCCTAAATATATAGATTTTTATTACCTCATTTAAAAAGTCCTCTTATTTGTTAGATAATGGTTTCTAAATTCATTCTTTAAAATTCCCTGTAAATCATAAACTTTTCCCAACAAAACATAGGGCTAAAACACCTTGATTAGGGTTTAAATCAGCCATACTGTCAGTCTACATTAAGCATACGCCTAGTTGACTTAAAAGTTCAATAATGCTAAGGACTATATTGTGTTGCTCAATATAGCATATCCACATTTCCACTAGCACCTCTCCTCCCTGCCAGCCAATGCTTCTTGTTAGTGCCTGCTCACTGTATCTGTCCCCTCTATTTACAAGTCACCCAAACCAGTAGTCACAGAATTATCCTTGTCTTTTCTTATGTGCCATCTGCTTAGCCACAAAGGCTTATTTCAATGCCTCATCAATTTTAGAATCTTCTTTCCCTCTAACTGCTTTAGCCTTAGTTCTATTGCTCATTATCTCCTGACAGAGTGTGGAAAAAGCATTACAGCTACTCACTTGTCCTTTCCACTATGAGATCCCTGCTTCACACCAGAACCAAAATGGTCCATTTACATGGAAGAGCTAAACTCATTACTCCCATCCTTGAAGAGCTCTTTTAGTTTCTCCATTTTCTAGTAACAAAATAATTGAAATGCCAGATCACGGATATATGTCACTACCCCTTTTACTTACTACCTTCCTTTATTTTAAATTTTATACCTCCATAATTGCAGGCAGATTCTAATTCCCCAGGCCTACTGTTTAACACTTCTATGCTTTAAATAAGCTGTTACTTCTGCTTGGATTTTCAATCCTAGTGTCTTCTCATGTTAATGCTTCTCAATTTTCCATGTACCACTAGAAGGTTTCTTCTGTAGAAAATTGCTTGTGAATCCCTAAATTGGCCTAAGTCTCACTTCTTTGTTCTTCATAGAAACTGGTATCTATAGAAGTAAAAGTATCAAATCAGAGGCAAAGAGATTGTGATTACAAATATTCCTGAAAAGATAAAATTGATTTTCTAGATGATTCTTAGCTTTATAATTTGTAATTAAATATACTATCTCACTTAAAATCTTTACATATTGTACCAAGATCAGTAACAGACTCTGAAGCCTAGATGCTAAACCTAGGCTTTGAGACTTCCCAAGGCAGACTGTGCCCAGAGTTCAGACGAAAATTAGTACTGATGTACTACAGACATGTTGGACATCTGGTTCTTTTTATACTCTCAGTTATTCCCAAAATTTTATTCAATAGTTATTTAAAATAATTTGGAGGATAGACTTTATTTTTCTCTCTATGCAATAGATTTTTAAAAAATGACAGACCGTCCCTAGTGGAAAGACTAAATTCAAGTGATTTTCATTCATTTGTGGATGGGTAGACTTTGTTTCTTTTTTCCCAGAGTCTGAAAAATTCACCATTTAATTCCAGAGTAGAATGAGGTAAGCACTCACCTTTATTTGGTAAGTGCCATCAAAAATAAAATAATCTATCAAGTCTGAAAAAATATTTACATTTTACATATGTAATATATATATATATATGCATATATATTATATATAATTTGGAATCATATAAGTAGATATAAATCACATTTAGGCAAAATATAACCACATGCAGTGAAACAATACATGAAAGCAATTTGAGAGGAAATGAGAAGAAATAATGCTATAAGTATTGTTCTGGAATAAGCAGATTTTTCTTGTATATTTTGTATAAAAATTTGTCATTTGTACTCTCTTGAAACTAAATCTGTTCAACTCACCTTCATATAACCAGTCAGCAATTCCATTAAAAATAATTCCTTCTTTTCCAGAAGATGTCAGTCTCAATGAACTGCTCTTTATATCAGGCCGATAGTAGATATTATTTTCAAAAATATAAATCTGGACCAGGAAACACATGAAACAATGAAAACATACAACATATTAGGTCTTATTTTTATTTTGATATTGCAGAAAAATCACTGAATAGTTAAGTGTTTCATCATTGCATAAATCCAAATTTGGGCCCTATATTTTTATTGCATTCTATTATTAATGGCTTTTTCCCCTATCATATCAATATCAAGTTGTCACTTGGAATTACAGTACACTGGGTGTTAAAGCTTTTGAATTCATATTTTAAGCAACAATATTTCATCTACTTAGTAATATCTCTCCTATACCACAAAATTGGCTTGCCTATAAGATAAAATTTTCATGCATAAGAGACAGATAACTGCAACTAGATAGCATTCTAGTAACAGCCAGTAGACTGAAAAGCTTCAATTGAGGGTCTTTTGTACAAAAATGCATTTGGTAATCAATAAAATAATATGCACTTAGAAAAATCTTTCTGATTATGTCTAGCCTGAATCAGACTCTCTGATGATAAGAAGCTTAGTAAAATGTCTTTGAACTGATAGTGAAATATAGTTCCACATATACCAGCATTTCTTCGTAATTCTTTCTTCAATAGCATAGCAATAGCAATAACAATAACCTTGTGTCTGAGAGTTGAAGAGTTTCAAACCTATTACAGAGTCTTCTAGAATGGAATCAGCAACAGTAGAAACAAAGATCCCACATAAAAGTGTGTGTCTTTGTTATAGATAATTTGGGTAAAGTTACTTGTAATTCATTGTACAGTGTCTTTAATGCCAAATGTTAAAACTGCTTATCTGTGTGCTGTTAGAAGCTTCCAGAGAACTACATTTGCTCTACATATTGGGAAGTCAGATTGCTTTTGAGATCAAATGCCTTACTAAGAAGGTCAAAATGGTCTAGGACCTATGTGTCCAGCAAGAACTTTTGAAACGACTATTTAAATACCTGCAAAGTCTGAGATAATTATTTTAGATGTAAACTGTGATAAAAGCAATCCTAATATACAGAAAACTTCACTGGTATTTTATTTTAATTCTGGATATTTGATGATGTCTAGCTAACCATTCTACCAGTGGGCATCTTTTATATTACAAACAAAAATATAAAAATAATGGTACAGCACAATGCTTAAAAGCATGGGCTTCGCAATGAGGAAGTCTAAATTTAAAATCCTAGCAACCTTGGTAATTCTCTTGAATTTTTGTCTTTTTAAATAAAGTGTGTGTAGGAATCACAAATAGTTTACATATGCACATGACTGATAAGTAAAATGATAAATGTGGAATCTAGAAAACATGGTATTTCTAAAGACAAAGCTGACTTCATACAAGTCAACATGATTCAAGACCCTGAGCTCTTTGTCGACTGCAAAATCTAAATCAAAATAAAACTTCTAATGCTTTAGCTCCTCTAAATTATCTCCAACTACTGGCCAGTAGAAGATACTAAACTAGCGAAATCTGTTAGTACTATAGTGTGTAGTACTTGAAAAACAATGGTATTAGTGGGAGAAGGAAGAAAATTAACAAATGATATATTTTCAAAATTTTACTTCAATTAGAAAGATTTTAGGAGATAATATGAAATAGAAAACAAACCTTTTACTGAAAGTATAGATCACAGTTAAGTAAAAGTCTGAGAATTATCTCTCAGGTGACATAATAATAGATGCAAGCTAGATTTAGTGACTTTCAGAGTCTCTGATAACTAAGCAAAAAAATTTCTTTTATCATAGCCAACTGCAGTATATACTTTAAATTTTATGCATTTTACCTTCTTTTGTCATTCACATACGTGTAGGAAGTCTTTCTTAGAGAAAATCTCTTTTCTGTGTTTGAATCTTCTAATTGGACTTGTGAGTAGTTGCACTTGCACACTCTCTATACCTACTGATTATGTTATTACAGATAAAGATGACTTCATTCAAATAATATGGCCCTGAATTATCAGCTTTCCAGAGAGACAGAAGCCTAAGTCAAATGATTAATAAAACCTGCACGACTTCAGCAGATGTATAAATTATCTAAAATTATTGACCAGTAATTACACTTATATTTGAGGAACAAATTGGATGATATTCAAAATCTTATGAAACTGACATCTGCTCCAATGTAAAAGAACAAGAAATATGGACCCAGAATCTTAATGTCATACCCTGGAAAAATGTATAATGTGAGAATGCCTATGAGGTCTGTAGGCAAAAATATTAGTAGCTGCCACTGCCATGCCTCTCTGCCTAGTGATACTATACTAGGTGTGATACTTCATAAAACATACATCTTAATCTCATCTTAATCTCAGAACCTCTCTTCAGTTACTAAGGTTTATTGCAACTCTAGCCGCTACCTTGACAATTTGAGAGCTCTTCATTTTCTGAAGTACTAAGTGGGCACTGTGATGAAATTAAAAATGCATCCAAATGTCACCATCAAAACGCTAGCCAGATTTAAATCACACTGAAAATATGATGGACATTAATGTGTTTATCACCATATAACTAATTAAACTGTCATAATATTTTCATAGTTTTAATCAGCTTCTTCAGTGAGTCACCTAAACAGCATTACACATAGATAGTTATCTGACCAATTAGTCTTTGAATTTATAGAGTATGCCATCAATCCAGTTTGTCAGCATCAATGTTATTAATATATTTATAAAATAATATTAAAAATAAAACAATATTGAAATGTTAAAATCAGCAAAGGAAATAGGAAGACAATTGAACTACAATATTATGGCTTATATCTAGATGTTCCCCAGAACACTCATGCAATCATAGGTAAGGCTTTTAGGAGTGACTAGATCATGGGTTTGTGATACTAGATCATGGATATGTGATGCTGGATTAGTCCACTGATTGATTTAAAATAGCTCTGGGTGTGGATGATGGATTTACTGAAGAGGGAAGACCCACTCCTAGTGTGGCTTAGCACCAAACAGTATATTTGTAGCCTGGATGGAGTAAAAGACCAAGAAAGACCCTGATGCTTCCTATGTGTCATTCCATGGACTGCTTCTCCACTGCCAGCCCTCTCTGCCTACTGCCTTGCCTAGGAGCCCACTGACTATGAACGGAATCATCTCCAGACTGTGAGCTAAAATAAATCTTTCCTCCTTAACTTTCATGTGCTAGATATGTTGTCCCAGCAACAAGAAAATAACTAATAAACACAGTGTGCTAGTCTATGGTATTAGGAAATATGTAATATTCCAAGAAATTATTTTAATCAATGTGTTAGTCAACACTGTCTATTTACTAACTGACTGGATGCACTATATATTATTGGAGAGCTAGAATTTTAAAAAGCCAATTTTTAATTTTCTTCCTCCTCTTCTTTCTGCCACAACCTTCACCAAATGCTCCAGGTGCTAGGTTTTCTGAGTGGGGAGACATTGAACCAAACTCCTTTTAAGCCAAGACCAACTTACAGTGAAAATATAGTAAGAAATGAACATTTAACAATAAAAAGAAATAAATTTGAGAAGGCAGAGTAATCCCAATATAAACTGGTTGATACAGTGAGTGAAAGTAAACAAGTGAATTGAACCAGTAAACTGCAATGTCAGAGTATACTAACTCAGTGTTGGGATAATACTGTATTTGGACTGACTTTTGCTATGGCTTTCTTTCGGGCAAAAAATACTCAATTTTAAAAAGTATTCTGGATTGGGGGCTGGAGGTTTAGCTCAGCGGCATAAGCGCCTGCCTTTCAAGCAGGCAGCCGCGAGTTCAATCCCCGGTACCCATAAAAAGGAAAAAGACAAAAAAAAAAAAAAAAAAAAGTATTCCGGATGATTCCAGGTATTTCTAAGAAAGGTAGAGTTAAGGCACATTAATATTTATTGCACTTATATAGGATTTGTCCTTATCCATTTACCTATTGATGGACTTTTATTTCATTCCCTTGTTATTGTAAGTAGTGCTACAATAAATACAGGAGTGATAATAATTTTGTGAAATCCTCACCTCAGTTCTTTGGAGTAAATATAAGGAATTAGAATTATTAGATCATGCAGTAGTTTCATTTTAATTTTTTTGAGAAATTGTCGCACTGTTTTTTCTATTGTATCTATACTAGTTTCACTTTCACCAATAATTGGATTATTTTTCTGCATTTTAGGCAGTATCTTTCTTTTGTTTGTTTTGACAATAGAGAATCCAACAAATATGAGATCATAATTCTTGACATCTTGATCGGCAGTTTTCTTATTTTTAGTGACCATATTTCTATTTGTGTTCATAGTTCACAGATTTGTGAAGAAGCTACCAACATTAATATAAATGATGAAGATGATACAGATATTAATCTTATACATGGCTAAATGAATATATATTTTAAAATGATGGAAACAAGAGGTCTTCAAAGCCTAGAACAGAGTTTTTCAAGGTTGGCGCTACTAACATATTTACTACTAGAGAGTAACAAGTACTGGAGGACTTCCTTGTGAATTATAGAAAACTTAGTAACCTCTCAAATAGTGTGTGTTTCTGTGTCTGTGTCTGTGTGTGTGATACTGGAGATTGAAACCCAGATCCTTACACTGCGATACATCTCAGTCCTATTTTTGGTTTGTTTGTTTTTTTGTTTAAGACGGGGTCACATTAAATTGTTAATTTGTTCAAGTGGAAGATAGATTTATGATCCCATTGATTTAGCTTCCCAGAATTCTGGAATTATAGGGATGCCCTAAGTGTTATAGTTTATTTATAGATATTCCCCAAAAGATTCACTCTCTCCTAAGTGGGGCTTTTGTGAGGTGACGGGATTTTAGGCATACGATATGGATCAGTGGGTTAGGGCTCACATGAGTTTACAGCTCAGTGTGATTTTGGGAGTTGAAACCGAGGACACTGAGGAAATGATCTAGAAGAGTCTTTTTACCCCATCCTCCTTAATCTCACTGCTTTCTACTGCCTTGTCATAGACTATTTCTCCTCTGCTATGCCCCCTTGCTATGCCACCATGATTTGGAGTCAGTTAATTCTAGATGGAAACTTCTACAAACTGTAAGCC